TGGGTTGAACACACGGTGGGTGGAACACACGGTGGGTTGAACACATGGTGGGTGGAACATACGGTGGGTGGATCACACGGTGGGTTGATCATACGGTGGGTTGATCACACGGTGGGTTGAACACACGGTGGGTTGAATACACGGTGGGTTGAACACACGGTGGGTTGAACACACGGTGGGTTGAACACACGGTGGGTTGAACACACGGTGGGTTGAACACACGGTGGGTTGAACACACGGTGCGTTGAACACACGGTGGGTTGAACACATGGTGGGTTGAACATACGGTGGGTTGATCACACGGTGGGTGGAACACACGGTGGGTTGAACACATGGTGGGTTGAACATACGGTGGGTTGATCACACGGTGGGTGGAACAAAAGGTGGGTTGAACACACGGTGGGTGGAACACACGGTGGGTTGAACACACGGTGGGTGGAACACACGGTGGGTTGAACACACGGTGGGTTGAACACACGGTGGGTTGATCACACCGTGGGTGGAACACACGGTGGGTTGAACACACGGTGGTTGGAACACACGATGGGTTGAACACATGGTGGGTGGAACATACGGTGGGTGGATCACACGGTGGGTTGATCACACGGTGGGTTGAACACACGGTGGGTGGAACACATGGTGGGTTGAACACATGGTGGGTTGAACATATGGTGGGTTGATCACACGGTGGGTTGATCACACGATGGGTTGATCACACGGTGGGTTGATCACACGGTGGGTTGAACACACGGTGGGTTGAACACACGGTGGGTTCAACACACGATGGGTGGAATACACGGTGGGTTGAACACACGGTGGGTTGAACATACGGTGGGTTGATCACACGGTGGGTTGAACATACGGTGGGTTGATCACACGGTGGGTGAAACACACGGTGGGTTGAACACACGGTGGGTTGAACACATGGTGGGTTGAACATACGGTGGGTTGATCACACGGTGGGTGGAACACACGGTGGGTTGAACACATGGTGGGTTGAACATACGGTGGGTTGATCACACGGTGGGTGGAACACACGGTGGGTTGAACATACGGTGGGTTGATCACATGGTGGGTTGATCACACGGTGGGTTGATCACACGGTGGGTTGATCACACGGTGGGTTGAACACACGGTGGGTTGAACACACGGTGGGTTCAACACACGATGGGTGGAATACACGGTGGGTTGAACACACGGTGGGTTGAACATACGGTGGGTTGATCACACGGTGGGTTGAACATACGGTGGGTTGATCACACGGTGGGTGGAACACACGGTGGGTTGAACACATGGTGGGTTGAACATACGGTGGGTTGATCACACGGTGGGTGGAACAAAAGGTGGGTTGAACACACGGTGGGTGGAACACACGGTCGGTTGAACACACGGTGGGTGGAACACACGGTGGGTTGAACACACGGTGGGTTGAACACACGGTGGGTTGATCACACCGTGGGTGGAACACACGGTGGGTTGAACACACGGTGGGTTGATCACACGGTGGGTTGAACACACGGTGGTTGGAACACACGGTGGGTTGAACACATGGTGGGTGGAACATACGGTGGGTGGATCACACGGTGGGTTGATCACACGGTGGGTTGAACACACGGTGGGTGGAACACATGGTGGGTTGAACACATGGTGGGTTGAACATATGGTGGGTTGATCACACGGTGGGTTGATCACACGATGGGTTGATCACACGGTGGGTTGATCACACGGTGGGTTGAACACACGGTGGGTTGAACACACGGTGGGTTCAACACACGATGGGTGGAATACACGGTGGGTTGAACACACGGTGGGTTGAACATACGGTGGGTTGATCACACGGTGGGTTGAACACACGGTGGGTTGATCACACGGTGGGTTGAAAACACGGTGGGTGGAACACACGGTGGGTTGAACACATGGTGGGTGGAACATACGGTGGGTTGATCACACGGTGGGTTGATCACACGGTGGGTTGATCACACGGTGGGATGAACACATGGTGGGTAGAATAAACGGTGGGTTGAACACACGGTGGGTTGAACACACGGTGGGTTGAACACACGGTGGGTTGAACACACGGTGGGTTGAACACACGGTGGGTTGAACACACGGTGCGTTGAACACACGGTGGGTTGAACACACGGTGGGTTGAACACACGATGGGTTGAACACACGGTGGGTTGAACACATGGTGGGTTCAACACACGGTGGGTTCAACACACGGTGGGTTCAACACATGGTGGGTGGAACACACGGTGGGTTGAACACATGGTGGGTTGAACATACGGTGGGTTGATCACACAGTGGGTGGAACACACAGTGGGTTGAACACACGGTGGGTTGAACACACGATAGGTTGAGCACACGGTGGGTTGAACACACGGTGCGTTGAACACACGGTGGGTGGAACACACGGTGGGTTGAACACATGGTGGGTTGAACACACGGTGGGTTTAACACACGTTGGGTTGAACACACGGTGGGATGAACACACGGTGAGTTGAACACACGGTGGGTGGAACACACGGTGGGTTGAACACACGGTGGGTTTAACACACGGTGGGTTGAAAACACGGGGGGTTGAACACACGGTATATTGAACACACGGTGGGTTGAACACACGGAAGGCTGATCACACGGTGGGCTGAACACACGGTGGGCTCAACACACGGTGCGTTGAACACACGGTGGGTGGAACACACGGTGGGTTGATCACACTGTGGGTGGAACACACGGTGGGTTGAACACACGGTGGGTTGATCAGACGGTGGGTTGAACACACGGTGGGTTGAACACACGGTGGGTTGAACACATGGTGGGTTGAACATACGGTGGGTTGATCACACGGTGGGTTGATCACACGGTGGGTTGATCTCACGGTGGGTTGATCACACGGTGGGTTGAACACACGGTGGGTTGAACACACGGTGGGTTGAACACACGGTGGGTTGACCACACAGTGGGTTGAACACACGGTGCGTTGAACACACGGTGGGTTGAACACACGGTGCGTTGAACACACGGTGGGTTGAACACAAGGTGGGTTGAACACACAGTGGGTTGATCACATGGTGGGTGGAACACACGGTGGGTTGAACACATGGTGGGTTGAACACATGATAGGTTGAACACACGGTGGGTTGATCACACGGTGGGTTGAACACACGGTAGGTTTAAGACACGGTGGGTTGAACACACGGTGGGTGGAACACACGGTGGGTTGATCACACCGTGGGTGGAACACACGGTGGGTTGAACACACGGTGGGTTGATCAGACGGTGGGTTGAACACACGGTGGGTTGAACACACGGTGGGTTGAACACATGGTGGGTTGAACATACGGTGGGTTGATCACACGGTGGGTTGATCACACGGTGGGTTGATCACACGGTGGGTTGATAACACGGTGGGTTGAACACACGGTGGGTTGAACACACGGTGGGTTGAACACACGGTGGGTTGAACACACGGTGGGTTGAATACACGGTGCGTTGAACACACGGTGGGTTGAACACACGGTGCCTTGAACACACGGTGGGTTGAACACAAGGTGGGTTGAACACACAGTGGGTTGATCACATGGTGGGTGGAACACACGGTGGGTTGAACACATGGTGGGTTGAACACATGATAGGATGAACACACGGTGGGTTGATCACACGGTGGGTTGAACACACGGTGCATTGAACATTCGGTGGGTGGAAAACACCGTGGGTTGAACACACGGTGGGTTCAAAACACGGTGGGTTCAACACACGGTGGGTTCAACACACGATGCGTTGAACACACGGTGGGTGGAACACACGGTGGGTTGAACACACGGTGGGTTGAACACACGATAGGTTGAACACACGATGGGTGGAACACACGGTGCGTTGAACATATGGTGGGTGGATCACACGGTGGGTGGAACACACGGTGGGTAGAACACACGGTGGGTTGAACACACGATAGGTTGAGCACACGGTGGGTTGAACACACGGTGCGTTGAACACACGGTGGGTGGAACACACGGTGGGTTGAACACATGGTGGGTTAAACACCAATGGGTTGATCACACCGTGGGTGGAACACACGGTGGGTTGAACACACGGTGGGTTGATCACACGGTGGGTTGAACACACGGTGGGTGGAACACAAGGTGGGTTGAACACATGGTGGGTTGAACATACGGTGGGTTGATCATACGGTGGGTTGATCACACGGTGGGTTGATCACACGGTGGGTTGATCACACGGTGGGTTGAACACACGGTGGGTTGAACACACGGTGGGTTGAACACATGGTGGGTTGAACACACGGTGGGTTGAACACACGGTGCGTTGAACACATGGTGGGTTGACCACACGGTGGGTTGAACATACGATAGGTTGAACACACGGTGGGTTGAACACACGGTGGGCTCAACACACGGTGGGTTCAACACACGGTGGCTTCAACACACGGTGGGTGGAACACACGGTGGGTTGAACACATGGTGGGTTGAACATACGGTGGGTTGAACACACGGTGGATTGAACACACGGTGGGTTGAACACACGGTGGGTTGAACACACGGTGGGTTGAACACACGATAGGTTGAGCACACGGTGAGTTGAACACATGGTGTGTTGAACACACGGTGGGTGGAACACACGGTGGGTTGAACACATGGTGGGTTCAACACACGGTGGGTTGATCATACCGTGGGTGGAACACACAGTGGGTTGATCATACGGTGGGTTGAACACAGGGTGGGTGGAACACACGGTGGGTTGAACACATGGTGGGTTGAACATACGATGGGTTGATCACAAGGTGGGTTGATCACACGCTGGGTTGATCACACGGTGGGTTGATCACACGGTGGGTTGAACACACGGTGGGTTGAACACATGGTGGGTTGAACACACGGTGGGTTGAACACACGGTGGGTTGAACACACGGTGGGTTCAACACACGGTGGGTTCAACACACGGTGCGTCTACGACCACGTCCACGTCCATGTCCACGTCCATGTCTACGTCCACGTCCACGTCCACGTCCACGCGTCCACGTCCATGTCCACGTCCACGTCCACGTCCACGTCCACGTCCATGTCCACGTCCACGTCCACGTCCACGTCCACGTCCATGTCCACGTCCACGTCCTCCACGTCCACGTCCACGTCCACGTCCTCCACGTCCACGTCCACAACCACGTCCACGTCCATGTCCACGTCCACGTCCACGTGTACGTCCAGGTCCACGTCCACGTCCACGTCCACGTCCATGTCCACGTCCACGTCCACGTCCACGTCCACGACCACGTCCACGACCACGTCCACGTCCACGTCCACGTGTACGTCCAGGTCCACGTCCACGTCCACGTGTACGTCCACGTCCACGTCCACGTCCACGTCCAGGTCCACGTCCACGTCCACGACCACGTCCACGACCACGTCCACGTCCACGTCCACGTCCACGTCCACGACCACGTCCACGTCCACGTCCACGTCCACGTCCACGACCACGTCCACGTCCACGTCCACGTCCACGACCGCGTCCACGACCACGTCCACGTCCACGTCCGCACGTCCGCGTCCGCGTCCACGTCCGCGTCCGCGTCCACGTCCATGTCCGCGTCCACGTCCCTGTCCAACGTCCGCGTCCGCGTCCCCGTCCAACGTCCGCGTCCGCGTCCCACGTCCACGTCCAGGTCAAGTCCGCGTCCCCGTCCAACGTCCGTGTCTGCGTCCCACGTCCACGTCCAGGTCAAGTCCGCGTCCACGTCCACGTCCACGTCCAGGTCAAGTCCACATCCACGTCCACGTCCACGTCCACGTCCACGTTCACGTCCAGGTCAAGTCCACGTCACGTCCACGTCCACGTCCACGTCCACGTTCACGTCCACGTCCACGTCCAAGTCCACGTCCACGTCCACGTCCACGTCCACGTCCACGTCCACGTCCACGTCCACGACCACGTCCACGACCACGTCCACGTCCACGTCCACGACCACGTCCACGTCCACGTCCACGTCCATGTCCACGTCCATGTCCACGTCCACGTCCACGTCCACGTCCACGTCCACGTCCACGACCATGTCCACGTCCACGTCCATGTCCACGTCCACGTCCACGTCCACGTCCACGTCCACGACCATGTCCACGTCTACGTCCACGTCCACGTCCACATCCACGTCCACGTCCACGTTCATATCCACGTCCACGTCCACGTCCACGTCCACGACCACGTCCACGTCCACGTCCACGTCCACGTCCACGTCCAGGTCCACGTCTTCGTCCAGGTCCACGTCTTCGTCCACGACCACGTCCACGTCCACGTCTTCGTCCACGACCACGTCCACGTCCACGTCCACGTCCACGTCCACGTCCTCGTCCACGACCAGGTCCACGTCCACGTCCACGTCCACGTCCACGTCCAAGTCCACGTCCAAGTCCACGTCCATCTCCACGTCCACGACCATGTCCACCTCCACGTCCACGTCCACGACCATGTCCACGTCCACGTCCACGTCCACGTTCACGACCAGGTCCACGTCCACGACCATGTCCACGTCCACTTCCACGTTCACGCCCACGTCCACGTCCACGTCCACTTCCACGTTCACGCCCACGTCCACGTCCACGTCCACGTCAACGTCCAAGTCCACGTCCACGTCCACGTCCACGTCCAGCTCCAGGTCCACGTCCACGTCCACGTCCACGACCACGTCCACGTCCACGTCCACGTCCACGTGCAGGTCCAGGTCCACGTCCACGTCCACGTCCACGACCACGTCCACGTCCACGTCCACGTCCACGACCACGTCCACGTCCACGTCCACGTCCACGTCCACGTGTCCACGACCACGTCCACGTCCACGTCCACGTCCACGTCCACGTCCACGACCATGTCCACGTCCACGTCCACCTCCACCTCCACGACCATGTCCACCTCCATGTCCACGTCTACGTCCACCTCCACGTCCACGTCCACGTCCACGTCCACGTCCACGTCCAATTCCACGTCCACGTCCACGTCCACGTCCAAGTCCACGTCCACGTCCACGTCCACGTCCACGTCCACCTCCACGACCACGTCCACGTCCACGTCCACGTCCACGTCCACGTCCACGTCCAGGTCCACGTCCACGTCCAGGTCCACGTCCACGTCCACGTCCACGTCCACGTGTATGTCCACGTCCACGTCCACGTCCACGTCCACGTCCACGTCCATGTCCACGACCACGACCACGTCCATGTCCACGACCACGTCCATGTCCACGTCCACGTCCACGTCCACGTCCATGTCCACGTCCACGCGTCCACGTCCACGTCCATGTCCACGTCCACGTCCAAGTCCACGTCCATGTCCACGTCCACGTCCTCCACGTCCCGGTCCACGTCCACGTCCTCCACGTCCAGGTCCACGTCCACGTCCTCCACGTCCACGTCCACGTCCACGTCCTCGTCCACGTCCACGTCCACGTCCACGTGTACGTCCATGTCCACGTTCACGTCCACGTGTACGTCCACGTCCACGTCCACGTCCACGTGTACGTCCACGTCCACGTCCACGTCCACGTCCACGTCCACGACCACGTCCACGTCCACGTCCACGCCCACGACCACGTCCACGTCCAAGTCCACGACCACGTCCACGTCCACGTCCACGTCCACGCCCACGTCCACGTCCACGTCCACGTCCACGTTCACGTCCACGTCCACGACCACGACCACGTCCACGTCCACGTCCACGTCCACGTCTACGTCCAAGTCCACGTCCACGACCACGACCACGTCCACGTCCACGTCCACGTCCACGTCCACGTCCAAGTCCACGTCCACGTCCACGTCCACGTCCACGTCCACGTCCACGTCCACGTCCACGTCCATGTCCACGTCCACGTCCACGTCCACGTCCACGACCACGTCCACGTCCACGTCCACGTCCACGTCCACGTCCATGTCCACGTCCACGTCCACGTCCACGACCACGTCCACGTCCACGACCACGTCCACGTCCACGTCCACGTCCACGTCCACGTCCACGTCCACGTCCACGTTCACGTCCACGTCCACGTCCACGTCCACGTCCACGTCCACGTTCACGTCCACGTCCACGTCCACGTCCACGATCCACGTCCACGTCCACGTCCACGTCCACGTCAACGTCCATGTCCACGTCCACGTCCACGTCCATGACCACGTCCACGCGTCCACGTCCACGTCTATGTCCACGTCCACGTCCACGTCCACATCCACGTCCACGCGTCCACGTCCACGTCCACGACCACGTCCACATCCACGTCCACGTCCACGACCACGTCTATGTCCACGTCCACGTCCACCTCCACGTCCACGTCCACGTCCACGTCCACGTCCACGACCACGTCCACGTCCATCTCCACGTCCACGTCCACGTCCACGTCCACGTCCACGTCCACGTCCACGTCCACGACCACGTCCACGTCCACGTCCACGCCCACGACCACGTCCACGTCCAAGTCCACGACCACGTCCACGTCCACGTCCACGTCCACGCCCACGTCCACGTCCACGTCCACGTCCACGTTCACGTCCACGTCCACGACCACGACCACGTCCACGTCCACGTCCACGTCCACGTCTACGTCCAAGTCCACGTCCACGACCACGACCACGTCCACGTCCACGTCCACGTCCACGTCCACGTCCAAGTCCACGTCCACGTCCACGTCCACGTCCACGTCCACGTCCACGTCCACGTCCACGTCCATGTCCACGTCCACGTCCACGTCCACGTCCACGACCACGTCCACGTCCACGTCCACGTCCACGTCCACGTCCATGTCCACGTCCACGTCCACGTCCACGACCACGTCCACGTCCACGACCACGTCCACGTCCATGTCCACGTCCACGTCCACGTCCACGTCCACGTCCACGTTCACGTCCACGTCCACGTCCACGTCCACGTCCACGTCCACGTTCACGTCCACGTCCACGTCCACGTCCACGATCCACGTCCACGTCCACGTCCACGTCCACGTCAACGTCCATGTCCACGTCCACGTCCACGTCCATGACCACGTCCACGCGTCCACGTCCACGTCTATGTCCACGTCCACGTCCACGTCCACATCCACGTCCACGCGTCCACGTCCACGTCCACGACCACGTCCACATCCACGTCCACGTCCACGACCACGTCTATGTCCACGTCCACGTCCACCTCCACGTCCACGTCCACGTCCACGTCCACGTCCACGACCACGTCCACGTCCATCTCCACGTCCACGTCCACGTCCACGTCCATCTCCACGTCCACGTCCACGTGTACGTCCATGTCCACGTGTACGTCCATGTCCACGTCCACGTCCATGTCCACGTCCACGTCCACGTCCACGTCCACGTCCACGTCCACGACCACGACCACGTCCACGTCCACGTCCATGTCCACGTCCACGTCCACGTCCACGACCACGTCCACGTCCACGTCCACGACCACGTCTATGTCCACGTCCACGTCCACCTCCACGTCCACGTCCACGTCCACGTCCACGTCCATGTCCACGTGCACGTCCACGTCCACGACCACGTCCACGTCCACGTCCACGTCCACGTCCACGTCCATGTCCACGTCCATCTCCCCGTCCACGTCCACGTCAATGTCCACGTCCACGTCCACGTCCACGTCCACGTCCACGTGTACGTCCACGTCCACGTCCACGTCCATGTCCACGTCCACGTCCACGTCCACGTCCACGTCCACGTCCACGTCCACGTCCACGTCCACGTCCACGCGTCCACGTCCACGTCCATGTCCACGTCCACGTCCACGTCCACGTCCACGTCCACGTCCACGTCCACGTCCACGACCACGTCCACGACCACGTCCACGTCCACGTCCACGACCACGTCCACGTCCACGTCCACGTCCATGTCCACGTCCATGTCCACGTCCACGTCCACGTCCACGTCCACGTCCACGTCCACGACCATGTCCACGTCCACGTCCATGTCCACGTCCACGTCCACGTCCACGTCCACGTCCACGACCATGTCCACGTCTACGTCCACGTCCACGTCCACGTCCACGTCCACGTCCACGTTCATATCCACGTCCACGTCCACGTCCACGTCCACGTCCACGACCACGTCCACGTCCACGTCCACGTCCACGTCCACGTCCACGTCCACGTCTTCGTCCAGGTCCACGTCTTCGTCCACGACCACGTCCACGTCCACGTCTTCGTCCACGACCACGTCCACGTCCACGTCCACGTCCACGTCCACGTCCTCGTCCACGACCAGGTCCACGTCCACGTCCACGACCAGGTCCACGTCCACGTCCACGTCCAAGTCCACGTCCAAGTCCACGTCCATCTCCACGTCCACGACCATGTCCACCTCCACGTCCACGTCCACGACCATGTCCACGTCCACGTCCACGTCCACGTTCACGACCAGGTCCACGTCCACGACCATGTCCACGTCCACTTCCACGTTCACGCCCACGTCCACGTCCACGTCCACTTCCACGTTCACGCCCACGTCCACGTCCACGTCCACGTCAACGTCCAAGTCCACGTCCACGTCCACGTCCACGTCCAGCTCCAGGTCCACGTCCACGTCCACGTCCACGACCACGTCCACGTCCTCGTCCACGTCCACGTCCACAACCACGTCCACGTCCACGTCCACGTCCACGTCCACGTCCAGGTCCACGTCCACGTCCAGGTCCACGTCCACGTCCTCGTCCACGTCCATGTCCACGTCCACGTCCATGTCGACGTCCACGTCCACGTCGACGTCCACGTCCACGTCCACGTCCACGTCCACGTCCACGTCCACGTTCACGTCCACGTCCACGTCCACGTCCACGTCCACGTCCACGACCACGTCCACGTCCACGTCCACGTCAACGTGTCCACGTCCACGTCCACGTCCACGTCCACGTCCACCTCCACGACCATGTCCACGTCCACGTCCACGTCCACGTCCACGTCCATGTCCACGTCCACGTCCACGTCTACGTCCAAGTCCACGTCCACGTCCACGTCCAGGTCCACGTCCAGGTCCACGTCCACGTCCACGTCCACGTCCACCTCCACGACCACGTCCACGTCCACGTCCACGTCCACGTCCAGGTCCACGTCCACGTCCACGTCCACGTCCAGGTCCACGTCCACGACCACCTCCACGACCATGTCCACGTCCACGTCCACGTCCACGTCCAGGTCCACGTCCACGTCCACGTCCACGTCCAAGTCCACGTCCACGTCCAAGTCCACGTCCAGGGCCACGTCCACGTCCAGGTCCACGTCCAGGTCCACGTCCACGTCCAGGTCCACGTCCACGTCCACGTCCACGTCCACGTCCACGTCCACGTCCACGTCCACCTCCACGACCACGTCCACGTCCACGTCCACGTCCAGGTCCACGTCCACGTCTACGTCCACGTCCACGTCCACGTCCAGGTCCACGTCCACGTCCACGTCCACGTCCACGTCCACGTCCAGGTCCACGTCCACGTCCAGGTCCACGTCCACGTCCACGTCCACGTCCACGTCCAAGTCCACGTCCACGTCCACGTCCACGTCCAAGTCCACGTCCACGTCCACGTCCACGTCCACGACCACGTCCACGTCCACGACCACGTCCACGTCCACGTCCACGTCCACGTTCTCGTCCACGTCCACGTCCATGTCCACGTCCACGTTCACGTCCATGTCCACGTCCACGTCCACGACCACGTCCACGTCCACGTCCACGTTCACGTCCACGTCCACGTCCACGTTCACGTCCACGTCCACGTCCACCTCCACGTCCACGTCCACGTCCATGTCCATGTCCACGTCCACCTCCAGGTCCATGTCCACGTCCACGTCCACGTCCACGTCCATGTCCACGTCCACGTCCACGTCCACGTCCACGTCCACGACCATGTCCACGTCCACGACCACGTCCACGACCATGTCCAAGTCCACGACCACGTCCACGTCCACGTCCACGTCCATGTCCACGTCCACGTTCATGTCCACGTCCATGTCCACGTCCACGTCCACGTCCACGTCCACGTCCAGGTCCACGTCCACGTCCAGGTCCACGTCCACGTCCACGTCCACGACCACGTCCACGTCCTCGTCCACGTCCACGTCCACAACCACGTCCACGTCCACGTCCACGTCCACGTCCACGTCGAGGTCCACGTCCACGTCCAGGTCCACGTCCACGTCCTCGTCCACGTCCACGTCCACATCCACGTCCATGTCGACGTCCACGTCCACGTCGACGTCCACGTCCACGTCCACGTCCACGTCCACGTCCACGTCCACGTCCACGTCCACGTCCACGTCCACGACCACGTCCACGTCCACGTCCACGTCAACGTGTCCACGTCCACGTCCACGTCCACGTCCACGTCCACGTCCACGTCCACGTCCACCTCCACGACCATGTCCACGTCCACGTCCACGTCCACGTCCATGTCCACGTCCACGTCCACGTCTACGTCCAAGTCCACGTCCACGTCCACGTCCACGTCCACGTCCACGTCCACGTCCACGTCCACGTCCACGACCACGTCCACGTCCACGTCCACGTCCACGTCCAGGTCCACGTCCACGTCCACGTCCACGTCCACGTCCAGGTCCACGTCCACGTCCACGTCCACGTCCACGTCCATGTCCACGTCCACGACCATGTCCACGTCCACGTCCACGTCCACGTCCACGTCCATGTCCACGTCCACGTCCACGTCCACGTCCACGTCCACGTCCACGTCCACGTCCATGTCCACGTCCACGTTCATGTCCACGTCCATGTCCACGTCCACGTCCACGTCCATGTCCATGTCCACGTCCACGTCCATGTCCACGTCCACGTCCAGGTCCACGTCCACGTCCAGGTCCACGTCCACATCCACGTCCACGTCCACGACCACGTCCACGTCCTCGTCCACGTCCACGTCCACAACCACGTCCACGTCCACGTCCACGTCCACGTCCACGTCCAGGTCCACGTCCACGTCCAGGTCCACGTCCACGTCCTCGTCCACGTCCATGTCCACGTCCACGTCCATGTCGACGTCCACGTCCACGTCGACGTCCACGTCCACGTCCACGTCCACGTCCACGTCCACGTCCACGTTCACGTCCACGTCCACGTCCACGTCCACGTCCACGTCCACGTCCACGACCACGTCCACGTCCACGTCCACGTCAACGTGTCCACGTCCACGTCCACGTCCACGTCCACGTCCACCTCCACGACCATGTCCACGTCCACGTCCACGTCCACGTCCACGTCCATGTCCACGTCCACGTCCACGTCTACGTCCAAGTCCACGTCCACGTCCACGTCCAGGTCCACGTCCAGGTCCACGTCCACGTCCACGTCCACGTCCACCTCCACGACCACGTCCACGTCCACGTCCACGTCCACGTCCAGGTCCACGTCCACGTCCACGTCCACGTCCAGGTCCACGTCCACGTCCACGTCCACGTCCAGGTCCACGTCCACGTCCACGTCCACGTCCAGGTCCACGTCCACGTCCACGTCCACGTCCAGGTCCACGTCCACGTCCACGTCCACGTCCACGTCCACGTCCACGTCCACGACCACGTCCACGTCCACGTCCACGTCCACGACTACGTCCACGTCAACGTGTCCACGTCCACGTCCACGTCCACGTCCACGTCCACGTCCACGTCCACCTCCACGACCATGTCGACGTCCACGTCCACGTCCACGTCCACGTCCATGTCCACGTCCACGTCCACGTCTACGTCCAAGTCCACGTCCACGTCCACGTCCAGGTCCACGTCCAGGTCCACGTCCACGTCCACGTCCACGTCCACGTCCACCTCCACGACCACGTCCACGTCCACGTCCACGTCCACGTCCAGGTCCACGTCCACGTCCACGTCCACGTCCACGTCCAGGTCCACGTCCACGTCCACGTCCACGTCCACGTCCAGGTCCACGTCCACGTCCACGTCCACGTCCACGTCCATGTCCACGTCCACGACCATGTCCACGTCCACGTCCACGTCCATGTCCACGTCCACGTCCACGTCCACGTCCACGTCCACGTCCACGTCCAGGTCCACGTCCACGTCCACGTCCACGTCCACGTCCACGTCCACGTCCACGTCCACGTCCACGTCCACGTCCACGTCCACGACCACGTCCACGTCCACGTCCACGTCCACGACCACGTCCACGTCCACGTCCACGTCCACGTCCACGTCCACGTCCACGTCCACGTGTCCACGTCCACGTCTACGTCCACGTCCACGCGTCCACGTCCACGTCCACGTCCACGTCCACGTCCACGTCCACGTCCACCTCCACGTCCACGTGTCCACGTCCACGTCCACGTCCACGTCCACCACGTCCACGTCCACGACCACCTCCACGACCATGTCCACGTCCACGTCCACGTCGAGGTCCACGTCCACGTCCACGTCCACGTCCAAGTCCACGTCCACGTCCAAGTCCACGTCCAGGTCCACGTCCACGTCCAGGTCCACGTCCAGGTCCACGTCCACGTCCAGGTCCACGTCCACGTCCACGTCCACGTCCACGTCCACGTCCACGTCCACCTCCACGACCACGTCCACGTCCACGTCCACGTCCACGTCCACGTCTACGTCCACGTCCACGTCCACGTCCAGGTCCACGTCCACGTCCACGTCCACGTCCATGTCCACATCCACAACCACGTCCACGTACACGTCCACGTCCACGTCCACGTCCACGTCCAGGTCCACGTCCACGTCCACGTCCACGTCCACGTCCAGGTCCACGTCCACGTCCACGTCCACGTCCACGTCCACGTCCACGTCCAGGTCCACGTCCACGTCCACGTCCACGTCCACGTCCAGGTCCACGTCCACGTCCATGTCCAAGTCCACGTCTACGTCCACGTCCACGTCCAAGTCCACGTCCACGTCCACGTCCACGTCCAAGTCCACGTCCACGTCCACGTCCACGTCCACGACCACGTCCACGTCCACGACCACGTCCACGTCCACGTCCACGTCCACGTTCTCGTCCACGTCCACGTCCATGTCCACGTCCACGTTCACGTCCACGTCCACGTCCACGTCCACGACCACGTCCACGTCCACGTCCACGTTCACGTCCACGTCCACGTCCACGTTCACGTCCACGTCCACGTCCACCTCCACGTCCACGTCCACGTCCATGTCCATGTCCACGTCCACCTCCAGGTCCATGTCCACGTCCACGTCCACGTCCACGTCCATGTCCACGTCCACGTCCACGTCCACGTCCACGTCCACGTCCACGTCCACGACCATGTCCACGTCCACGACCACGTCCACGACCATGTCCAAGTCCACGACCACGTCCACGTCCACGTCCACGTCCACGTCCATGTCCACGTCCACGTTCATGTCCACGTCCATGTCCACGTCCACGTCCACGTCCACGTCCACGTCCACGTCCAGGTCCACGTCCACGTCCAGGTCCACGTCCACGTCCACGTCCACGACCACGTCCACGTCCTCGTCCACGTCCACGTCCACAACCACGTCCACGTCCACGTCCACGTCCACGTCCACGTCCACGTCCAGGTCCACGTCCACGTCCAGGTCCACGTCCACGTCCTCGTCCACGTCCACGTCCACGTCCACGTCCATGTCGACGTCCACGTCCACGTCGACGTCGACGTCCACGTCCACGTCCACGTCCACGTCCACGTCCACGTCCACGTCCACGTCCACGTCCACGTCCACGACCACGTCCACGTCCACGTCCACATCCACGTCAACGTGTCCACGTCCACGTCCACGTCCACGTCCACGTCCACGTCCACGTCCACGTCCACCTCCACGACCATGTCCACGTCCACGTCCACGTCCACGTCCATGTCCACGTCCACGTCCACGTCTACGTCCAAGTCCACGTCCACGTCCACGTCCACGTCCACGTCCACGTCCACGTCCACCTCCACGACCACGTCCACGTCCACGTCCACGTCCACGTCCACGTCCAGGTCCACGTCCACGTCCACGTCCACGTCCACGTCCAGGTCCACGTCCACGTCCACGTCCACGTCCACGTCCATGTCCACGTCCACGACCATGTCCACGTCCACGTCCACGTCCACGTCCACGTCCATGTCCACATCCACGTCCACGTCCACGTCCACGTCCACGTCCACGTCCACGTCCACGTCCATGTCCACGTCCACGTTCATGTCCACGTCCATGTCCACGTCCACGTCCACGTCCATGTCCATGTCCACGTCCACGTCCATGTCCACGTCCACGTCCAGGTCCACGTCCACGTCCAAGTCCACGTCCACGTCCACGTCCACGTCCACGACCATGTCCACGTCCTCCTCCACGTCCACGTCCACAACCACGTCCACGTCCACGTCCACGTCCACGTCCACGTCCAGGTCCACGTCCACGTCCAGGTCCACGTCCACGTCCTCGTCCACGTCCATGTCCACGTCCACGTCCATGTCGACGTCCACGTCCACGTCGACGTCCACGTCCACGTCCACGTCCACGTCCACGTCCACGTTCACGTCCACGTCCACGTCCACGTCCACGTCCACGTCCACGACCACGTCCACGTCCACGTCCACGTCAACGTGTCCACGTCCACGTCCACGTCCACGTCCACGTCCACGTCCACCTCCACGACCATGTCCACGTCCACGTCCACGTCCACGTCCACGTCCACGTCCATGTCCACGTCCACGTCCACGTCTACGTCCAAGTCCACGTCCACGTCCACGTCCAGGTCCACGTCCAGGTCCACGTCCACGTCCACGTCCACGTCCACCTCCACGACCACGTCCACGTCCACGTCCACGTCCAGGTCCACGTCCACGTCCACGTCCACGTCCACGTCCAGGTCCACGTCCACGTCCACGTCCACGTCCACGTCCACGTCCATGTCCACGTCCACGACCATGTCCACGTCCACGTCCACGTCCACGTCCACGTCCATGTCCACGTCCACGTCCACGTCCACGTCCACGTCCACGTCCACGTCCAGGTCCACGTCCACGTCCACGTCCACGTCCAGGTCCACGTCCACGTCCACGTCCACGTCCACGTCCACGTCCACGACCACGTCCACGTCCACGTCTTCGTCCACGACTACGTCCACGTCAACGTGTCCACGTCCACGTCCACGTCCACGTCCACGTCCACGTCCACGTCCACCTCCACGACCATGTCCACGTCCACGTCCACGTCCACGTCCACGTCCACGTCCATGTCCACGTCCACGTCCACGTCTACGTCCAAGTCCACGGTCCACGTCCACGTCCACGTCCACGTCCAGGTCCACGTCCACGTCCACGTCCACGTCCACGTCCACCTCCACGACCACGTCCACGTCCACGTCCACGTCCACGTCCACGTCCACGTCCACGTCCACGTCCACGTCCACGTCCACGTCCACGTCCAGGTCCACGTCCACGTCCACGTCCACGTCCACGTCCAGGTCCACGTCCACGTCCACGTCCACGTCCATGTCCACGTCCACGACCATGTCCACGTCCACGTCCACGTCCATGTCCACGTCCACGTCCACGTCCACGTCCACGTCCACGTCCAGGTCCACGTCCACGTCCACGTCCACGTCCACGTCCACGTCCACGTCCACGTCCACGTCCACGACCACGTCCACGTCCACGTCCACGTCCACGACCACGTCCACGTCCACGTCCACGTCCACGTCCACGTCCACGTCCACGTCCACGTCCACGTCCACGTGTCCACGTCCACGTCCACGTCCACGTCCACGCGTCCACGTCCACGTCCACGTCCACGTCCACGTCCACGTCCACCTCCACGTCCACGTGTCCACGTCCACGTCCACGTCCACGTCCACCACGTCCACGTCCACGACCACCTCCACGACCATGTCCACGTCCACGTCCACGTCCACGTCCAGGTCCACGTCCACGTCCACGTCCAAGTCCACGTCCACGTCCCAGTCCACGTCCAGGTCCACGTCCACGTCCAGGTCCACGTCCAGGTCCACGTCCACGTCCAGGTCCACGTCCACGTCCACGTCCACGTCCACGTCCACGTCCACGTCCACCTCCACGACCACGTCCACGTCCACGTCCACGTCCACGTCCACGTCCACGTCTACGTCCACGTCCACGTCCACGTCCAGGTCCACGTCCACGTCCACGTCCACGTCCATGTCCACGTCCACGTACACGTCCACGTCCACGTCCACGTCCACGTCCACGTCCACGTCCAGGTCCACGTCCACGTCCACGTCCACGTCCAGGTCCACGTCCACGTCCACGTCCACGTCCACGTCCAGGTCCACGTCCACGTCCACGTCCACGTCCACGTCCAGGTCCATGTCCAAGTCCACGTCTACGTCCACGTCCACGTCCAAGTCCACGTCCACGTCCACGTCCACGTCCACGTCCACGTCCAAGTCCACGTCCACGTCCACGTCCACGTCCACGTCCACGACCACGTCCACGTCCACGTCCACGTCCACGTCCTCGTCCACGTCCACGTCCATGTCCACGTCCACGTTCACGTCCACGTCCACGTCCACTTCCACGACCACGTCCACGTCCACGTCCACGTTCACGTCCACGTCCACGTCCACGTTCACGTCCACGTCCACGTCCACCTCCACGTCCACGTCCACGTCCATGTCCATGTTTACGTCCACCTCCAGGTCCATGTCCACGTCCACGTCCACGTCCACGTCCATGTCCACGTCCACGTCCACGTCCACGTCCACATCCACGTCCACGACCATGTCCACGTCCACGACCACGTCCACGACCATGTCCAAGTCCACGACCACGTCCACGTCCACGTCCACGTCCACGTCCATGTCCACGTCCACGTTCATGTCCACGTCCATGTCCACGTCCACGTCCACGTCCACGTCCACGTCCACGTCCAGGTCCACGTCCACGTCCAGGTCCACGTCCACGTCCACGTCCACGACCACGTCCACGTCCTCGTCCACGTCCACGTCCACAACCACGTCCACGTCCACGTCCACGTCCACGTCCACGTCCAGGTCCACGTCCACGTCCAGGTCCACGTCCACGTCCTCGTCCACGTCCACGTCCACGTCCACGTCCATGTCGACGTCCACGTCCACGTCGACGTCCACGTCCACGTCCACGTCCACGTCCACGTCCACGTCCACGTCCACGTCCACGTCCACGTCCACGTCCACGTGTCCACGTCCACGTCCACGTCCACGTCCACGTCCACGTCAACGTGTCCACGTCCACCTCCACGACCACGTCCACGTCCACGTCCACGTCCACGTCCACCTCCACGACCATGTCCACGTCCACGTCCACGTCCACGTCCATGTCCACGTCCACGTCCACGTCTACGTCCAAGTCCACGTCCACGTCCACGTCCACGTCCACGTCCACGTCCACGTCCACGTCCACGTCCACGTCCACCTCCACGACCACGTCCACGTCCACGTCCACGTCCACGTCCACGTCCAGGTCCACGTCCACGTCCACGTCCACGTCCACGTCCAGGTCCACGTCCACGTCCACGTCCACGTCCACGTCCATGTCCACGTCCACGACCATGTCCACGTCCACGTCCACGTCCACGTCCATGTCCACGTCCACGTCCACGTCCACGTCCACGTCCACGTCCACGTCCACGTCCACGTCCAGGTCCACGTCCACGTCCACGTCCACGTCCAGGTCCACGTCCACGTCCACGTCCACGTCCACGACCACGTCCACGTCCACGTCCACGTCCACGACCTCGTCCACGTCAACGTGTCCACGTCCACGTCCACGTCCACGTCCACGTCCACGTCCACCTCCACGACCATGTCCACGTCCACGTCCACGTCCACGTCCACGTCCATGTCCACGTCCACGTCCACGTCTACGTCCAAGTCCACGTCCACGTCCACGTCCACGTCCACGTCCACCTCCACGACCACGTCCACGTCCACGTCCACGTCCACGTCCACGTCCACGTCCACGTGTCCACGTCCACGTCCACGTCCACGTCCACGTCCACGTCAACGTGTCCACGTCCACCTCCACGACCACGTCCACGTCCACGTCCACGTCCACGTCCACCTCCACGACCATGTCCACGTCCACGTCCACGTCCACGTCCATGTCCACGTCCACGTCCACGTCTACGTCCAAGTCCACGTCCACGTCCACGTCCACGTCCACGTCCACGTCCACGTCCACGTCCACGTCCACGTCCACCTCCACGACCACGTCCACGTCCACGTCCACGTCCACGTCCACGTCCAGGTCCACGTCCACGTCCACGTCCACGTCCACGTCCAGGTCCACGTCCACGTCCACGTCCACGTCCACGTCCATGTCCACGTCCACGACCATGTCCACGTCCACGTCCACGTCCACGTCCATGTCCACGTCCACGTCCACGTCCACGTCCACGTCCACGTCCACGTCCACGTCCACGTCCAGGTCCACGTCCACGTCCACGTCCACGTCCAGGTCCACGTCCACGTCCACGTCCACGTCCACGACCACGTCCACGTCCACGTCCACGTCCACGACCTCGTCCACGTCAACGTGTCCACGTCCACGTCCACGTCCACGTCCACGTCCACGTCCACGTCCACCTCCACGACCATGTCCACGTCCACGTCCACGTCCACGTCCACGTCCATGTCCACGTCCACGTCCACGTCTACGTCCAAGTCCACGTCCACGTCCACGTCCACGTCCACGTCCACCTCCACGACCACGTCCACGTCCACGTCCACGTCCACGTCCACGTGTCCACGTCCACGTCCACGTCCACGTCCACGTCCACGTCCACGTCCCTCCACGACCATGTCCACGTCCACGTCCACGTCCACGTCCACGTCCACGTCCACGTCCAAGTCCACGTCCACGTCCACGTCCACGTCCAGGTCCACGTCCAGGTCCAGGTCCACGTCCACGTCCACGTCCACGTCCACGTCCACCTCCACGACCACGTCCACGTCCACGTCCACGTCCACGTCCACGTCCACGTCCAGGTCCACGTCCACGTCCACGTCCACGTCCACGTCCACGTCCACGTCTAGGTCCAGGTCCACGTCCACGTCCACGTCCACGTCCACCTCCACGACCACGTCCACGTCCACGTCCACGTCCACGTCCAGGTCCACGTCCACGTCCACGTCCACGTCCACGTCCAGGTCCAGGTCCACGTCCACGTCCACGTCCAGGTCCACGTCCACGTCCACGTCCACGTCCACGTCCACGTCCATGTCCACGTCCACGACCATGTCCACGTCCACGTCCACGTCCACGTCCACGTCCATGTCCACGTCCACGTCCACGTCCACGTCCAGGTCCAGGTCCACGTCCACGTCCACGTCCAGGTCCAGGTCCAGGTCCACGTCCACGTCCACGTCCACGTCCACGACCACGTCCACGTCCACGTCCACGTCCACGACCACGTCCACGTCCACGTCCACGTCCACGTCCACGTCCACGTCCACGTGTCCACGTCCACGTCCACGTCCACGTCCACGTGTCCACGTCCACGTCCACGTCCACGTCCACGACCACCTCCACGACCATGTCCACGTCCACGTCCACGTCCACGTCCATGTCCACGTCCACGTCCACGTCCACGTCCACGTCCAAGTCCACGTCCACGTCCAAGTCCACGTCCAGGTCCACGTCTACGTCCAGGTCCACGTCCAGGTCCACGTCCACGTCCAGGTCCACGTCCACGTCCATGTCCACGTCCACGTCCACGTCCACGTCCACGTCCACCTCCACGACCACGTCCACGTCCACGTCCACGTCCACGTCCACGTCTACGTCCACGTCCACGTCCACGTCCAGGTCCACGTCCACGTCCACGTCCACGTCCATGTCCACGTCCACAACCACGTCCACGTACACGTCCACGTCCACGTCGACGTCCACGTCCAGGTCCACGTCCACGTCCACGTCCACGTCCACGTCCACGTCCAGGTCCACGTCCACGTCCACGTCCACGTCCACGTCCACGTCCACGTCCACGACCACGTCCACGTCCACGTCCACGTCCACGTCCACGTCCACGTCCACGTCCACGTCCACGACCACGTCCACGTCCACGTCCACGTGTCCACGTCCACGTCCACGTCCACGTCCACGTCCACGTCCACGTCCACCTCCACGACCATGTCCACGTCCACGTCCACGTCCACGTCCACGTCCACGTCCAGGTCCAAGTCCACGTCCACGTCCACGTCCACGTCCACCTCCACGACCACGTCCACGTCCACGTCCACGTCCACGTCCAGGTCCACGTCCACGTCCACCTCCACGTCCACGTCCACGTCCAGGTCCACGTCCACGTCCACCTCCACGTCCACGTTCACGTCCACGTCCACGTCCACGTCCACGTCCACGTCCACGCCCACGTCCACGTCCACGTCCACGTCCACGTCCACGTCCACGTGTCCACGTCCACGTCCACGACCACGTCCACGTCCACGTCCACGACCATGTCCACGTCCACGTCCACGTCCACGTCCACGTCCACGTCCACGTCCATGTCCACGTCCACGTCCACGTCCACGTCCACGTCCACGTCCACGTCCATGTCCACGTCCACGTCCAGGTCCACGTCCACGTCCAAGTCCACGTCCACCTCCACGACCACGTCCACGTCCACGTCCACGTCCACGTCCACGTCCACGTCCACGTCCAGGTCCACGTCCACGTCCACGTCCACGTCCACGTCCACGTCCATGTCCACGTCCACGACCAGGTCCACGTCCACGTCCACGTCCACGTCCACGTCCACGTCCACGTCCACGTCCACGACCATGTCCACGTCCACGTCCACGTCCACGTCCAAGTCCACGTCCACGTCCACGTCCACGTCCACGTCCAAGTCCACGTCGACGTCCACGTCCACGACCATGTTCACGTCCACGACCACGTCCACGACCATGTCCAAGTCCACGTCTACGTCCACGTCCAAGTCCACGTCCACGTCCACGTCCACGACCACGTCCACGTCCACGTCCACGTCCACGACCACGTCCACGACCACGTCCACGTCCAGGTCCACGTCCATGTCCACGTCCACGTTCTCGTCCACGTCCACGTCCATGTCCACGTCCACGTCCATGTCCACGTCCACGTCCACGTCCACGTTCACGTCCACGTCCACGTCCATGTCCACGTCCACGACCACGTCCACGTCCACGTCTACGTCCACGTCCACGACCACGTCCACGTCTACGTTCACGTCCACGTCCACGACCACGTCCACGTCCACGTCCACGTCCATGTCCACGTCCACGTCCACGTCCACGTCCACGTCCACGTCCACGTCCACGACCATGTCCACGTCCACGACCACGTCCACGACAATGTCCAAGTCCACGTCTACGTCCACGTCTACGTCCAAGTCCACGTCCACGTCCACGTCCACGACCACGTCCACGTCCACGTCCACGCCCACGTCCACGACCACGTCCACGTCCACGTCCACGTCCATGTCCAGGTCCACGTCCACGTTCACGTCCACGTCCACGTTCACGTCCACGTCCACGTCCATGTCCACGTCCACGTCCATGTCCACGTCCACGTCCACGTCCACGTCCACGTCCACGTCCATGTCCACGTCCACGTCCACGACCACGTCCACGTCCACGTCCACGTCCACGTCCATGTCCACGTCCACGTCCACGTCCATGTCCATGTCCACGTCCACGTCCAGGTCCATGTTCACGTCCACGTCCACGTCCAGGTCCATGTCCACGTCCATGTCCATGTCCACGTCCTCGTCCACGTCCTCGTCCACGTCCACGTCCATGTCCACGTCCACGTCCACGTGTACGTCCACGTCCACGTCCACGTCCACGTCCACGTCCATGTCCACGTCCACGTCCACGACCACGTCCAAGTCCACGTCCACGTCCACGTCCACGTCCACGTGTCCACGTCCACGTCCACGTCCACGTCCACGTCCACGTCCACGACCACGTCCACGTCCACGTCCACGTCCACGTCCACGTGTCCACGTCCACGTCCACATCCACGTCCACGTCCACGTCCACGTCCACGTACACGTCGACGTACACGTCCACCTCCACGTCCACCTCCACGTCCACCTCCACGACCACGTCCACGTCCACGTCCACCTCCATGTTCACGTCCACGTCCACGTCCACGTCCAAGTCCACGTCCACGTCCACGTCCACGTCCACGTCCACGTCCACGTCCACCTCCACGTCCACGTCCACGTCCACGTCCACGTCCAGGTCCACGTCCAGGTCCACGTCCAGGTCCACGTCCAGGTCCACGTCCACGTCCACGTCCACGTCCACGTCCACGTCCACGTCCACGTCCACGTCCACGTCCACGTCCACGTCCACCTCCACGACCATGTCCACGTCCACGTCCACGTCCACGTCCATGTCCACGTCCACGTCCACGTCCACGTCCAAGTCCACGTCCACGTCCACGTCCAAGTCCACGTCCACGTCCACGTCCACGTCCACGTCCACGTCCACGTCCAGGTCCACGTCCACGTCCACGTCCACGTCCACCTCCACGTCCACGTCCACGTCCACGTCCACGTCCACGTCCACGTCCACCTCCACGACCATGTCCACGTCCACGTCCACGTCCACGTCCACCATGTCCACGTCCACGTCCACGTCCACGTCCAAGTCCACGTCCACGTCCACGTCCACGTCCAGGTCCACGTCCAGGTCCACGTCCACGTCCACGTCCACGTCCACCTCCACGACCACGTCCACGTCCACGTCCAGGTCCACGTCCAGGTCCACGTCCAGGTCCACGTCCACGTCCACGTCCACGTCCACGTCCACCTCCACGACCACGTCCACGTCCACGTCCACGTCCCGGTCCACGTCCACGTCCAAGTCCACGTCCACGTCCACGTCCACGTCCACGTCCAGGTCCACGTCCACGTCCACGTCCACGTCCACGTCCCGGTTCACGTCCACGACCATGTCCACGTCCACGTCCACGTCCACGTCCACGTCCATGTCCACGTCCACGTCCACGTCCACGTCCACGTCCACGTCCACGACCACGTCCACGTCCACGTCCACGTCCACGTCCACGTCCAAGTCAACGTCCACGTCCACGTCCACGTCCACGTCCAAGTCCACGTCCACGTCCACGTCCACGTCCACGTCCACGTCCAAGTCCACGTCCACGTCAACGTCCACGTCCACGTCCACGACCACGTCCACGTCCACGTCCACGTCCACGTCCTCGTCCACGTCTACGTCCATGTCCACGTCCACGTTCACGTCCACGTCCACGTCCACGTCCACGACCACGTCCACGTCCACGTCCACGTTCACGTCCACGTCCACGTCCACGTTCACGTCCACGTCCACGTCCACCTCCACGTCCACGTCCACGTCCATGTCCATGTCCACGTCCACCTCCAGGTCCATGTCCACGTCCACGTCCACGTCCACGTCCATGTCCACGTCCACGTCCACGTCCACGTCCACGTCCACGTCCACGACCATGTCCACGTCCACGACCACGTCCACGACCATGTCCAAGTCCACGACCACGTCCACGTCCACGTCCACGTCCACGTCCACGTCCACGTTCATGTCCACGTCCACGTCTACGTCCACGTCCACGTCCACGTCCACGTCCACGTCCAGGTCCACGTCCACGTCCACGTCCACGTCCACGTCCACGTCCACGACCACGTCCACGTCCTCGTCCACGTCCACGTCCACGTCCACGTCCACGTCCACCTCCACGACCACGTCCACGTCCACGTCCACGTCCACGTCCACGTCCAGGTCCACGTCCACGTCCACGTCCACGTCCACGTCCACGTCCATGTCCACGTCCACGACCATGTCCACGTCCACGTCCACGTCCACGTCCACGTCCATGTCCAGGTCCAGGTCCACGTCCACGTCCACGTCCACGTCCACGTCCACGTCCACCTCCACGACCACGTCCACGTCCACGTCCACGTCCACGTCCACGTCCAGGTCCACGTCCACGTCCACGTCCACGTCCACGTCCACGTCCACGTCCAGGTCCACGTCCACGTCCACGTCCACGTCCACGTCCACCTCCACGACCACGTCCACGTCCACGTCCACGTCCACGTCCAGGTCCACGTCCACGTCCACGTCCACGTCCACGTCCAGGTCCACGTCCACGTCCACGTCCACGTCCAGGTCCACGTCCACGTCCACGTCCACGTCCACGTCCACGTCCATGTCCACGTCCACGACCATGTCCACGTCCACGTCCACGTCCACGTCCACGTCCATGTCCACGTCCACGTCCACGTCCACGTCCACGTCCAGGTCCAGGTCCACGTCCACGTCCACGTCCAGGTCCACGTCCACGTCCACGTCCACGTCCACGTCCACGACCACGTCCACGTCCACGTCCACGTCCACGACCACGTCCACGTCCACGTCCACGTCCACGTCCACGTCCACGTCCACGTCCACGTCCACGTGTCCACGTCCACGTCCACGTCCACGTGTCCACGTCCACGTCCACGTCCACGTCCACGTCCACGTCCACGACCACCTCCACGACCATGTCCACGTCCACGTCCACGTCTACGTCCATGTCCACGTCCACGTCCACGTCCACGTCCAAGTCCACGTCCACGTCCAAGTCCACGTCCAGGTCCACGTCCACGTCCAGGTCCACGTCCAGGTCCACGTCCACGTCCAGGTCCACGTCCACGTCCATGTCCACGTCCACGTCCACGTCCACGTCCACGTCCACGTCCACCTCCACGACCACGTCCACGTCCACGTCCACGTCCACGTCCACGTCTACGTCCACGTCCACGTCCACGTCCAGGTCCACGTCCACGTCCACGTCCACGTCCATGTCCACGTCCACAACCACGTCCACGTACACGTCCACGTCCACGTCGACGTCCACGTCCAGGTCCACGTCCACGTCCACGTCCACGTCCACGTCCACGTCCAGGTCCACGTCCACGTCCACGTCCACGTCCACGTCCACGTCCACGTCCACGACCACGTCCACGTCCACGTCCACGTCCACGTCCACGTCCACGTCCACGTCCACGACCACGTCCACGTCCACGTCCACGTCCACGTGTCCACGTCCACGTCCACGTCCACGTCCACGTCCACGTCCACGTCCACCTCTACGACCATGTCCACGTCCACGTCCACGTTCACGTCCACGTCCACGTCCACGTCCACGTCCAAGTCCACGTCCACGTATACGTCCACGTCCAGGTCCACGTCCAGGTCCAGGTCCACGTCCACGTCCACGTCCACGTCCACGTCCACCTCCACGACCACGTCCACGTCCACGTCCACGTCCACGTCCAGGTCCACGTCCACGTCCACCTCCACGTCCACGTCCACGTCCACGTCCACGTCCACGTCCACGTCCACGTCCACGTCCACGTTCACGTCCACGTCCACGTCCACGTCCACGTCCACGTCCACGTCCACGCCCACGTCCACGTCCACGACCACGTCCACGTCCACGTCCACGTGTCCACGTCCACGTCCACGTCCACGTCCACGTCCACCTCCACGACCACGTCCACGTCCACGTCCACGTCCACGTCCACGTCCACGTCCATGTCCACGTCCACGTCCACGTCCACGTCCAAGTCCACGTCCACGTCCACGTCCACGTCCACGTCCAGGTCCACGTCCACGTCCACGTCCACGTCCACCTCCACGACCACGTCCACGTCCACGTCCACGTCCACGTCCACGTCCACGTCCACGTCCAGGTCCACGTCCACGTCCACGTCCACGTCCATGTCCACGTCCACGACCAGGTCCACGTCCACGTCCACGTCCACGTCCACGTCCACGTCCACGTCCACGTCCACGACCATGTCCACGTCCACGTCCACGTCCACGTCCAAGTCCACGTCCACGTCCACGTCCACGTCCACGTCCAAGTCCACGTCGACGTCCACGTCCACGACCATGTTCACGTCCACGACCACGTCCACGACCATGTCCAAGTCCACGTCTACGTCCACGTCCAAGTCCACGTCCACGTCCACGTCCACGACCACGTCCACGTCCACGTCCACGTCCACGACCACGTCCACGACCACGTCCACGTCCAGGTCCACGTCCATGTCCACGTCCACGTTCTCGTCCACGTCCACGTCCATGTCCACGTCCACGTCCATGTCCACGTCCACGTCCACGTCCACGTTCACGTCCACGTCCACGTCCATGTCCACGTCCACGACCACGTCCACGTCCACGTCTACGTCCACGTCCACGACCACGTCCACGTCTACGTTCACGTCCACGTCCACGACCACGTCCACGTCCACGTCCACGTCCATGTCCACGTCCACGTCCACGTCCACGTCCACGTCCACGTCCACGTCCACGACCATGTCCACGTCCACGACCACGTCCACGACAATGTCCAAGTCCACGTCTACGTCCACGTCTACGTCCAAGTCCACGTCCACGTCCACGTCCACGACCACGTCCACGTCCACGTCCACGCCCACGTCCACGACCACGTCCACGTCCACGTCCACGTCCATGTCCAGGTCCACGTCCACGTTCACGTCCACGTCCACGTTCACGTCCACGTCCACGTCAATGTCCACGTCCACGTCCATGTCCACGTCCACGTCCACGTCCACGTCCACGTCCACGTCCACGTCCACGTCCATGTCCACGTCCACGTCCACGACCACGTCCACGTCCACGTCCACGTCCACGTCCATGTCCACGTCCACGTCCACGTCCATGTCCATGTCCACGTCCACGTCCAGGTCCATGTTCACGTCCACGTCCACGTCCAGGTCCATGTCCACGTCCATGTCCATGTCCACGTCCTCGTCCACGTCCTCGTCCACGTCCACGTCCATGTCCACGTCCACGTCCACGTGTACGTCCACGTCCACGTCCACGTCCACGTCCATGTCCACGTCCACGTCCACGACCACGTCCAAGTCCACGTCCACGTCCACGTCCACGTGTCCACGTCCACGTCCACGTCCACGTCCACGTCCACGTCCACGTCCACGTCCACGTCCACGTCCACGACCACGTCCACGTCCACGTCCACGTCCACGTCCACGTGTCCACGTCCACGTCCACATCCACGTCCACGTCCACGTCCACGTCCACGTACACGTCGACGTACACGTCCACCTCCACGTCCACCTCCACTTCCACCTCCACGACCACGTCCACGTCCACGTCCACCTCCATGTTCACGTCCACGTCCACGTCCACGTCCAAGTCCACGTCCACGTCCACGTCCACGTCCACGTCCACGTCCACGTCCACCTCCACGTCCACGTCCACGTCCACGTCCACGTCCAGGTCCACGTCCAGGTCCACGTCCAGGTCCACGTCCAGGTCCACGTCCACGTCCACGTCCACGTCCACGTACACGTCCACGTCCACGTCCACGTCCACGTCCACGTCCACCTCCACGACCATGTCCACGTCCACGTCCACGTCCACTTCCATGTCCACGTCCACGTCCACGTCCACGTCCAAGTCCACGTCCACGTCCACGTCCAAGTCCACGTCCACGTCCACGTCCACGTCCACGTCCACGTCCACGTCCACGTCCAGGTCCACGTCCACGTCCACGTCCACGTCCACCTCCACGTCCACGTCCACGTCCACGTCCACGTCCACGTCCACCTCCACCTCCACGACCATGTCCACGTCCACGTCCACGTCCACGTCCACCATGTCCACGTCCACGTCCACGTCCACGTCCAAGTCCACGTCCACGTCCACGTCCACGTCCAGGTCCACGTCCAGGTCCACGTCCACGTCCACGTCCACCTCCACCTCCACGACCACGTCCACGTCCACGTCCAGGTCCACGTCCAGGTCCACGTCCAGGTCCACGTCCACGTCCACGTCCACGTCCACGTCCACCTCCACGACCACGTCCACGTCCACGTCCACGTCCCGGTCCACGTCCACGTCCAGGTCCACGTCCACGTCCACGTCCACGTCCACGTCCACGTCCAGGTCCACGTCCACGTCCACGTCCACGTCCACGTCCATGTTCACGTCCACGACCATGTCCACGTCCACGTCCACGTCCACGTCCACGTCCACGTCCACGTCCACGTCCACGTCCACGTCCACGTCCACGACCACGTCCACGTCCACGTCCACGTCCACGTCCAAGTCAACGTCCACGTCCACGTCCACGTCCACGTCCAAGTCCACGTCCACGTCCACGTCCACGTCCACGTCCACGACCACGTCCACGACCATGTCCACGTCCACGACCACGTCCACGTCCACGTCCATGTCCACGACCACGTCCACGACCACGTCCACGTCCACGTCCACGTCCATGTCCACGTCCACGTTCTCGTCCACGTCCACGTCCATGTCCACGTCCACGTCCATGTCCACGTCCACGTCCACGTCCACGTTCACGTCCACGTCCACGTCCATGTCCACGTCCACGTCCACGACCACCTCCACGTCCACGTCCACGTCCACGTCCACGACCACGTCCACGTTCACATCCACGTTCACGTCCACGTCCACGTCCACGTCCACGTCCACGTCCATGTCCATGTCCACGTCCACGTCCACGTCCACGTCCATGTCCACGTCCACGACCACGTCCACGTCCACGTCCACGACCACGACCACGTCCACGACCATGTCCAAGTCCACGACCACGTCCACGTCCACGTCCACGTCCATGTCCACGTCCACGTTCACGTCCACGTCCATGTCCACGTCCACGTCCACGTCCATGTCCATGTCCACGTCCACGTCCACGTCCATGTCCACGTCCATGTCCACGTCCACGACCACGTCCACGTCCACGTCCACGTCCACGTCCATGTCCACGTCCACGTCCACGTCCACGTCCACGTCCACGTCCAAGTCCAAGTCCACGTCCACGTCCACGTCTACGTCCACGTCCACGACCATGTCGACGTCCACGACCACGTCCACGACAATGTCCAAGTCCACGTCTACGTCCACGTCCACGTCCAAGTCCACGTCCACGTCCACGTCCACGTCCACGACCACGTCCACGTCCACGTCCACGTCCACGTCCACGACCACGTCCACGTCCACGTCCACGTCCACGTCCAGGTCCACGTCCACGTTCACGTCCACGTCCACGTTCACGTCCACGTCCACGTCCATGTCCACGTCCACGTCCATGTCCACGTCCACGTCCACGTCCACGTCCACGTTCACGTCCATGTCCACGTCCATGTCCACGTCCACGTCCACGACCACGTCCACGTCCACGTCCATGTCCACGTCCACGTCCACGTCCACGTCCACGTCCATGTCCATGTCCACGACCACGTCTATGTCCACGTCCACGTCTACCTCCACGTCCACGTCCACGTCCACGTCCACGTGTCCACGTCCACGACCACGTCCACGTTCACGTCCACGTCCACGTTCTCGTCCACGTCCACGTCCATGTCCACGTCCACGTCCATGTCCACGTCCACGACCATGTCCACGTCCACGTCCACGTCCACGACAATGTCCAAGTCCACGTCTACGTCCACGTCCACGTCCAAGTCCACGTCCACGTCCACGTCCACGTCCACGACCACGTCCACGTCCACGTCCACGTCCACGTCCACGACCACGTCCACGTCCACGTCCACGTCCACGTCCAGGTCCACGTCCACGTTCACGTCCACGTCCACGTTCACGTCCACGTCCACGTCCATGTCCACGTCCACGTCCATGTCCACGTCCACGTCCACGTCCACGTCCACGTTCACGTCCATGTCCACGTCCATGTCCACGTCCACGTCCACGACCACGTCCACGTCCACGTCCATGTCCACGTCCACGTCCACGTCCACGTCCACGTCCATGTCCATGTCCACGACCACGTCTATGTCCACGTCCACGTCTACCTCCACGTCCACGTCCACGTCCACGTGTCCACGTCCACGACCACGTCCACGTTCACGTCCACGTCCACGTTCTCGTCCACGTCCACGTCCATGTCCATGTCCACGACCACGTCCACGTCCACGTCCATGTCCACGTCCACGTCCACGTCCACGTCCACGTCCATGTCCATGTCCACGACCACGTCTATGTCCACGTCCACGTCTACCTCCACGTCCACGTCCATGTCCACGTCCACGTCCACGTCCACGTCCATGTCCATGTCCACGACCACGTCTATGTCCACGTCCACTACCTCCACGTCCACGTCCACGACCACGTCCACGTTCACGTCCACGTCCACGTTCTCGTCCACGTCCACGTCCATGTCCACGTCCACGTCCATGTCCACGTCCACGACCATGTCCACGTCCACGTCCACGTCCACGTCCACATCCATGTCCACGTCCACGTCCACGTCCACGTCCACGTCCACGTCCACGACCATGTCCACGTCCACGTCCACGTCCACGTCCACGTCCATGTCCACGTCCACGTCCACGTCCACGTCCACGTCCATGTCCATGTCCACGTCCACGTCCAGGTCCATGTCCACGTCCACGTCCACGTCCACGTCCACGTCCCGGTTCACGTCCACGACCATGTCCACGTCCACGTCCACGTCCACGTCCACGTCCATGTCCACGTCCACGTCCACGTCCACGTCCACGTCCACGTCCACGACCACGTCCACGTCCACGTCCACGTCCACGTCCACGTCCAAGTCAACGTCCACGTCCACGTCCACGTCCACGTCCAAGTCCACGTCCACGTCCACGTCCACGTCCACGTCCAAGTCCACGTCCACGTCCACGTCCACGTCCACGTCCACGACCACGTCCACGTCCACGTCCACGTCCACGTCCTCGTCCACGTCCACGTCCATGTCCACGTCCACGTTCACGTCCACGTCCACGTCCACGTCCACGACCACGTCCACGTCCACGTCCACGTTCACGTCCACGTCCACGTCCACGTTCACGTCCACGTCCACGTCCACCTCCACGTCCACGTCCACGTCCATGTCCATGTCCACGTCCACCTCCAGGTCCATGTCCACGTCCACGTCCACGTCCACGTCCATGTCCACGTCCACGTCCACGTCCACGTCCACGTCCACGTCCACGACCATGTCCACGTCCACGACCACGTCCACGACCATGTCCAAGTCCACGACCACGTCCACGTCCACGTCCACGTCCACGTCCACGTCCAGGTTCATGTCCACGTCCACGTCTACGTCCACGTCCACGTCCACGTCCACGTCCACGTCCAGGTCCACGTCCACGTCCACGTCCACGTCCACGTCCACGACCACGTCCACGTCCTCGTCCACGTCCACGTCCACGTCCACGTCCACCTCCACGACCACGTCCACGTCCACGTCCACGTCCACGTCCACGTCCAGGTCCACGTCCACGTCCACGTCCACGTCCACGTCCACGTCCATGTCCACGTCCACGACCATGTCCACGTCCACGTCCACTTCCACGTCCACGTCCATGTCCAGGTCCAGGTCCACGTCCACGTCCACGTCCACGTCCACGTCCACCTCCACGACCACGTCCACGTCCACGTCCACGTCCACGTCCACGTCCAGGTCCACGTCCACGTCCACGTCCACGTCCACGTCCACGTCCACGTCCAGGTCCACGTCCACGTCCACGTCCACGTCCACGTCCACCTCCACGACCACGTCCACGTCCACGTCCACGTCCACGTCCAGGTCCACGTCCACGTCCACGTCCACGTCCACGTCCAGGTCCACGTCCACGTCCACGTCCACGTCCAGGTCCACGTCCACGTCCACGTCCACGTCCACGTCCATGTCCACGTCCACGACCATGTCCACGTCCACGTCCACGTCCACGTCCACGTCCATGTCCACGTCCACGTCCACGTCCACGTCCACGTCCAGGTCCAGGTCCACGTCCACGTCCACGTCCAGGTCCACGTCCACGTCCACGTCCACGTCCACGTCCACGTCCACGACCACGTCCACGTCCACGTCCACGTCCACGACCACGTCCACGTCCACGTCCACGTCCACGTCCACGTCCACGTCCACGTCCACGTCCACGTGTCCACGTCCACGTCCACGTCCACGTGTCCACGTCCACGTCCACGTCCACGTCCACGTCCACGTCCACGACCACCTCCACGACCATGTCCACGTCCACGTCCACGTCCACGTCCATGTCCACGTCCACGTCCACGTCCACGTCCACGTCCAAGTCCACGTCCACGTCCAAGTCCACGTCCAGGTCCACGTCCACGTCCAGGTCCACGTCCAGGTCCACGTCCACGTCCAGGTCCACGTCCACGTCCATGTCCACGTCCACGTCCACGTCCACGTCCACGTCCACGTCCACCTCCACGACCACGTCCACGTCCACGTCCACGTCCACGTCCACGTCTACGTCCACGTCCACGTCCACGTCCAGGTCCACGTCCACGTCCACGTCCACGTCCATGTCCACGTCCACAACCACGTCCACGTACACGTCCACGTCCACGTCGACGTCCACGTCCAGGTCCACGTCCACGTCCACGTCCACGTCCACGTCCACGTCCAGGTCCACGTCCACGTCCACGTCCACGTCCACGTCCACGTCCACGTCCACGACCACGTCCACGTCCACGTCCACGTCCACGTCCACGTCCACGTCCACGTCCACGACCACGTCCACGTCCACGTCCACGTCCACGTGTCCACGTCCACGTCCACGTCCACGTCCACGTCCACGTCCACGTCCACCTCCACGACCATGTCCACGTCCACGTCCACGTTCACGTCCACGTCCACGTCCACGTCCACGTCCAAGTCCACGTCCACGTATACGTCCACGTCCAGGTCCACGTCCAGGTCCAGGTCCACGTCCACGTCCACGTCCACGTCCACGTCCACCTCCACGACCACGTCCACGTCCACGTCCACGTCCACGTCCAGGTCCACGTCCACGTCCACCTCCACGTCCACGTCCACGTCCACGTCCACGTCCACGTCCACGTCCACGTCCACGTTCACGTCCACGTCCACGTCCACGTCCACGTCCACGTCCACGTCCACGCCCACGTCCACGTCCACGACCACGTCCACGTCCACGTCCACGTGTCCACGTCCACGTCCACGTCCACGTCCACGTCCACCTCCACGACCACGTCCACGTCCACGTCCACGTCCACGTCCACGTCCACGTCCACGTCCATGTCCACGTCCACGTCCACGTCCACGTCCAAGTCCACGTCCACGTCCACGTCCACGTCCACGTCCAGGTCCACGTCCACGTCCACGTCCACGTCCACCTCCACGACCACGTCCACGTCCACGTCCACGTCCACGTCCACGTCCACGTCCACGTCCACGTCCAGGTCCACGTCCACGTCCACGTCCACGTCCACGTCCATGTCCACGTCCACGACCAGGTCCACGTCCACGTCCACGTCCACGTCCACGTCCACGTCCACGTCCACGTCCACGACCATGTCCACGTCCACGTCCACGTCCACGTCCAAGTCCACGTCCACGTCCACGTCCACGTCCACGTCCAAGTCCACGTCGACGTCCACGTCCACGACCATGTTCACGTCCACGACCACGTCCACGACCATGTCCAAGTCCACGTCTACGTCCACGTCCAAGTCCACGTCCACGTCCACGTCCACGACCACGTCCACGTCCACGTCCACGTCCACGACCACGTCCACGACCACGTCCACGTCCAGGTCCACGTCCATGTCCACGTCCACGTTCTCGTCCACGTCCACGTCCATGTCCACGTCCACGTCCATGTCCACGTCCACGTCCACGTCCACGTTCACGTCCACGTCCACGTCCATGTCCACGTCCACGACCACGTCCACGTCCACGTCTACGTCCACGTCCACGACCACGTCCACGTCTACGTTCACGTCCACGTCCACGACCACGTCCACGTCCACGTCCACGTCCATGTCCACGTCCACGTCCACGTCCACGTCCACGTCCACGTCCACGTCCACGACCATGTCCACGTCCACGACCACGTCCACGACAATGTCCAAGTCCACGTCTACGTCCACGTCTACGTCCAAGTCCACGTCCACGTCCACGTCCACGACCACGTCCACGTCCACGTCCACGCCCACGTCCACGACCACGTCCACGTCCACGTCCACGTCCATGTCCAGGTCCACGTCCACGTTCACGTCCACGTTTACGTTCACGTCCACGTCCACGTCAATGTCCACGTCCACGTCCATGTCCACGTCCACGTCCACGTCCACGTCCACGTCCACGTCCACGTCCATGTCCACGTCCACGTCCACGACCACGTCCACGTCCACGTCCACGTCCACGTCCATGTCCACGTCCACGTCCACGTCCATGTCCATGTCCACGTCCACGTCCAGGTCCATGTTCACGTCCACGTCCACGTCCAGGTCCATGTCCACGTCCATGTCCATGTCCACGTCCTCGTCCACGTCCTCGTCCACGTCCACGTCCATGTCCACGTCCACGTCCACGTGTACGTCCACGTCCACGTCCACGTCCACGTCCACGTCCATGTCCACGTCCACGTCCACGACCACGTCCAAGTCCACGTCCACGTCCACGTCCACGTCCACGTGTCCACGTCCACGTCCACGTCCACGTCCACGTCCACGTCCACGTCCACGTCCACGTCCACGTCCACGACCACGTCCACGTCCACGTCCACGTCCACGTCCACGTGTCCACGTCCACGTCCACATCCACGTCCACGTCCACGTCCACGTCCACGTACACGTCGACGTACACGTCCACCTCCACGTCCACCTCCACGTCCACCTCCACGACCACGTCCACGTCCACGTCCACCTCCATGTTCACGTCCACGTCCACGTCCACGTCCAAGTCCACGTCCACGTCCACGTCCACGTCCACGTCCACGTCCACGTCCACGTCCACGTCCACGTCCACGTCCACGTCCACGTCCAGGTCCACGTCCAGGTCCACGTCCAGGTCCACGTCCAGGTCCACGTCCACGTCCACGTCCACGTCCACGTACACGTCCACGTCCACGTCCACGTCGACGTCCACGTCCACCTCCACGACCATGTCCACGTCCACGTCCACGTCCACTTCCATGTCCACGTCCACGTCCACGTCCACGTCCAAGTCCACGTCCACGTCCACGTCCAAGTCCACGTCCACGTCCACGTCCACGTCCACGTCCACGTCCACGTCCACGTCTAGGTCCACGTCCACGTCCACGTCCACGTCCACCTCCACGTCCACGTCCACGTCCACGTCCACGTCCACGTCCACCTCCACCTCCACGACCATGTCCACGTCCACGTCCACGTCCACGTCCACCATGTCCACGTCCACGTCCACGTCCACGTCCAAGTCCACGTCCACGTCCACGTCCACGTCCAGGTCCACGTCCAGGTCCACGTCCACGTCCACGTCCACCTCCACCTCCACGACCACGTCCACGTCCACGTCCAGGTCCACGTCCAGGTCCACGTCCAGGTCCACGTCCACGTCCACGTCCACGTCCACGTCCACCTCCACGACCACGTCCACGTCCACGTCCACGTCCCGGTCCACGTCCACGTCCAGGTCCACGTCCACGTCCACGTCCACGTCCACGTCCACGTCCAGGTCCACGTCCACGTCCACGTCCACGTCCACGTCCATGTTCACGTCCACGACCATGTCCACGTCCACGTCCACGTCCACGTCCACGTCCATGTCCACGTCCACGTCCACGTCCACGTCCACGTCCACGTCCACGACCACGTCCACGTCCACGTCCACGTCCACGTCCAAGTCAACGTCCACGTCCACGTCCACGTCCACGTCCAAGTCCACGTCCACGTCCACGTCCACGTCCACGTCCACGACCACGTCCACGACCATGTCCACGTCCACGACCACGTCCACGTCCACGTCCATGTCCACGACCACGTCCACGACCACGTCCACGTCCACGTCCACGTCCATGTCCACGTCCACGTTCTCGTCCACGTCCACGTCCATGTCCACGTCCACGTCCATGTCCACGTCCACGTCCACGTCCACGTTCACGTCCACGTCCACGTCCATGTCCACGTCCACGTCCACGACCACCTCCACGTCCACGTCCACGTCCACGTCCACGACCACGTCCACGTCCACATCCACGTTCACGTCCACGTCCACGTCCACGTCCACGTCCACGTCCACGTCCACGTCCATGTCCATGTCCACGTCCACGTCCACGTCCACGTCCATGTCCACGTCCACGTCCACGTCCACGTCCACGTCCACGACCACGACCACGTCCACGACCATGTCCAAGTCCACGACCACGTCCACGTCCACGTCCACGTCCATGTCCACGTCCACGTTCACGTCCACGTCCATGTCCACGTCCACGTCCACGTCCATGTCCATGTCCACGTCCACGTCCACGTCCATGTCCACGTCCATGTCCACGTCCACGACCACGTCCACGTCCACGTCCACGTCCACGTCCATGTCCACGTCCACGTCCACGTCCACGTCCACGTGCACGTCCAAGTCCAAGTCCACGTCCACGTCCACGTCTACGTCCACGTCCACGACCATGTCGACGTCCACGACCACGTCCACGACAATGTCCAAGTCCACGTCTACGTCCACGTCCACGTCCAAGTCCACGTCCACGTCCACGTCCACGTCCACGACCACGTCCACGTCCACGTCCACGTCCACGTCCACGACCACGTCCACGTCCACGTCCACGTCCACGTCCAGGTCCACGTCCACGTTCACGTCCACGTCCACGTTCACGTCCACGTCCACGTCCACGTCCATGTCCACGTCCACGTCCATGTCCACGTCCACGTCCACGTCCACGTTCACGTCCATGTCCACGTCCATGTCCACGTCCACGTCCACGACCACGTCCACGTCCACGTCCATGTCCACGTCCACGTCCACGTCCACGTCCACGTCCATGTCCATGTCCACGACCACGTCTATGTCCACGTCCACGTCTACCTCCACGTCCACGTCCACGTCCACGTCCACGTGTCCACGTCCACGACCACGTCCACGTTCACGTCCACGTCCACGTTCTCGTCCACGTCCACGTCCATGTCCACGTCCACGTCCATGTCCACGTCCACGACCATGTCCACGTCCACGTCCACGTCCACGTCCACGACAATGTCCAAGTCCACGTCTACGTCCACGTCCACGTCCAAGTCCACGTCCACGTCCACGTCCACGTCCACGACCACGTCCACGTCCACGTCCACGTCCACGTCCACGACCACGTCCACGTCCACGTCCACGTCCACGTCCAGGTCCACGTCCACGTTCACGTCCACGTCCACGTTCACGTCCACGTCCACGTCCATGTCCACGTCCACGTCCATGTCCACGTCCACGTCCACGTCCACGTCCACGTTCACGTCCATGTCCACGTCCATGTCCACGTCCACGTCCACGACCACGTCCACGTCCACGTCCATGTCCACGTCCACGTCCACGTCCACGTCCACGTCCATGTCCATGTCCACGACCACGTCTATGTCCACGTCCACGTCTACCTCCACGTCCACGTCCACGTCCACGTCCACGTGTCCACGTCCACGACCACGTCCACGTTCACGTCCACGTCCACGTTCTCGTCCACGTCTACGTCCATGTCCATGTCCACGACCACGTCCACGTCCACGTCCATGTCCACGTCCACGTCCACGTCCACGTCCACGTCCATGTCCATGTCCACGACCACGTCTATGTCCACGTCCACGTCTACCTCCACGTCCACGTCCATGTCCACGTCCACGTCCACGTCCACGTCCACGTCCATGTCCATGTCCACGACCACGTCTATGTCCACGTCCACTACCTCCACGTCCACGTCCACGACCACGTCCACGTTCACGTCCACGTCCACGTTCTCGTCCACGTCCACGTCCATGTCCACGTCCACGTCCATGTCCACGTCCACGACCATGTCCACGTCCACGTCCACGTCCACGTCCACATCCATGTCCACGTCCACGTCCACGTCCACGTCCACGTCCACGTCCACGACCATGTCCACGTCCACGTCCACGTCCACGTCCACGTCCATGTCCACGTCCACGTCCACGTCCACGTCCACGTCCATGTCCATGTCCACGTCCACGTCCAGGTCCATGTCCACGTCCACGTCCACGTCCAGGTCCATGTCCATGTCCATGTCCACGTCGACGTCCTCGTCCACGTCCTCGTCCACGTCCACGTCCATGTCCACGTCCACGTCCACGTGTACGTCCACGTCCACGTCCACGTGTACGTCCACGTCCACGTCCATGTCCACGTCCACGTCCACGTCCAAGTCCACGTCCACGTCCACGACCACGTCCACGTCCAAGTCCACGACCACGTCTATGTCCACGTCCACATCCACCTCCACGTCCACATCCACGTCCACGTCCACGTCCACGTCCACGTCCACGACCACGTCCACGTTCACGTCCATGTCCACGTCCACGTCCACGTCCACGTCCACGTCCACGTCCACATCCACGTCCACGTACACGTCCACGTCCACGTCCAGGTCCACGTCCACGTCCACGTTCTCGTCCACGTTCACGTCCATGTCCACGTCCACGTCCACGTCCACGTCCACGTCCAGGTCCACGTCCACGTCCACGTTCTCGTCCACGTCCACGTCCATGTCCACGTCCACGTCCACGTCCATGTCCACGTCCACGTCCATGTCCACGTCCACGTCCACGTCCACGTTCATGTCCACGTCCACGTCCATGTCCACGTCCACGTCCACGACCACGTCCACGTCCACGTCCACGTCCACGACCACGTCCACGTCCACGTCCACGTTCACGTCCACGTCCACGTCCACGTCCACGTCCACGTCCATGTCCATGTCCACGTCCACGTCCAGGTCCATGTCCACGTCCACGTCCACGTCCACGTCCATGTCCACGTCAACGTCCACGTCCACGTCCACGTCCACGACCATGTCCACGACCACGTCCATGTCCACGACCACGTCCACGTCCACGTCCACGTCCATGTCCACGTCCACGTTCACGTCCACGTCCATATCCACGTCCACGTCCACGTCCATGTCCATGTCCACGTCCACGTCCAGGTCCATGTCCACGTCCACGTCCACGTCCACGTCCACGACCACGTCCACGTCCACGTCCACGTCCATGTCCACGTCCACGTCCATGTCCACGTCCACGTCCACGTCCATGTCCAAGTCCACGTCCACGTCCACGTCCACGTCCACGACCATGTCCACGTCCACGACCACGTCCACGACAATGTCCAAGTCCACGTCTACGTCCACGTCCACGTCCAAGTCCACGTCCACGTCCACGTCCACGACCACGTCCACGTCCACGTCCACGTCCACGTCCACGACCACGTCCACGTCCACGTCCACGTCCATGTCCAGGTCCACGTCCACGTTCACGTCCACGTCCACGTTCACGTCCACGTCCACGTCCATGTCCACATCCACGTCCATGTCCACGTCCACGTCCACGTCCACGTCCACGTCCACGTCCACGTCCACGTTCACGTCCATGTCCACGTACATGTCCACGTCCACGTCCACGACCACGTCCACGTCCACGTCCACGTCCATGTCCACGTCCACGTCCACGTCCACGTCCACGTCCACGTCCACGTCCATGTCCATGTCCACGTCCACGTCCAGGTCCATGTCCACGTCCACGTCCACGTCCAGGTCCATGTCCATGTCCATGTCCACGTCCACGTCCTCGTCCACGTCCTCGTCTACGTCCACGTCCATGTCCACGTCCACGTCCACGTGTACGTCCACGTCCACGTCCACGTGTACGTCCACGTCCACGTCCACGTCCACGTCCACGTCCACGTCCAAGTCCACGTCCACGTCCACGACCACGTCCACGTCCAAGTCCACGACCACGTCTATGTCCACGTCCACGTCCACGTCCACGTCCACGTCCACGTCCACGACCACGTCCACGTTCACGTCCACGTCCACGTCCACGTCCACGTCCACGTCCACGTCCACGACCACGTCTATGTCCACGTCCACGTCCACCTCCACGTCCACGTCCACGTCCACGTCCACGTCCATGTCCACGTCCACGTCCACGTCCACGATCACGTCCACGTTCATGTCCATGTCCACGTCCACGTCCACGTCCACGTCCACGTCCAAGTCCACGTCCACGTCCACGTCCACGTCCACGTCCACCTCCACGTCCACGTCCACGTCCACGTTCACGTCCACGACCACGTCCACGTCCACGTCCACGTCCACGTCCACGTCCACGTCCAAGTCCACGTCCACGTCCACGACCACGTCCACGTCCACGTCCACGACCACGTCCACGTCCACGTCCACGTCTACCTCCACGTCCACGTCCACGTCCACGTCCACGTGTCCACGTCCACGACCACGTCCACGTCCACGTCCACGTTCTCGTCCACGTGTCCACGTCCACGTCCACGTCCACGTCCATGTCCACGTTCTCGTCCACGTCCACGACCATGTCCACGACCACGTCCATGTCCACGACCACGTCCACGTCCACGTCCACGTCCATGTCCACGTCCACGTTCACGTCCACGTCCATATCCACGTCCACGTCCACGTCCATGTCCATGTCCACGTCCACGTCCAGGTCCATGTCCACGTCCACGTCCACGTCCACGTCCACGACCACGTCCACGTCCACGTCCACGTCCATGTCCACGTCCACGTCCATGTCCACGTCCACGTCCACGTCCATGTCCAAGTCCACGTCCACGTCCACGTCCACGTCCACGACCATGTCCACGTCCACGACCACGTCCACGACAATGTCCAAGTCCACGTCTACGTCCACGTCCACGTCCAAGTCCACGTCCACGTCCACGTCCACGACCACGTCCACGTCCACGTCCACGTCCACGTCCACGACCACGTCCACGTCCACGTCCACGTCCATGTCCAGGTCCACGTCCACGTTCACGTCCACGTCCACGTTCACGTCCACGTCCACGTCCATGTCCACATCCACGTCCATGTCCACGTCCACGTCCACGTCCACGTCCACGTCCACGTCCACGTCCACGTCCACGTTCACGTCCATGTCCACGTACATGTCCACGTCCACGTCCACGACCACGTCCACGTCCACGTCCACGTCCATGTCCACGTCCACGTCCACGTCCACGTCCACGTCCACGTCCACGTCCATGTCCATGTCCACGTCCACGTCCAGGTCCATGTCCACGTCCACGTCCACGTCCAGGTCCATGTCCATGTCCATGTCCACGTCCACGTCCTCGTCCACGTCCTCGTCTACGTCCACGTCCATGTCCACGTCCACGTCCACGTGTACGTCCACGTCCACGTCCACGTGTACGTCCACGTCCACGTCCACGTCCACGTCCACGTCCAAGTCCACGTCCACGTCCACGACCACGTCCACGTCCAAGTCCACGACCACGTCTATGTCCACGTCCACGTCCACGTCCACGTCCACGTCCACGTCCACGACCACGTCCACGTTCACGTCCACGTCCACGTCCACGTCCACGTCCACGTCCACGTCCACGACCACGTCTATGTCCACGTCCACGTCCACCTCCACGTCCACGTCCACGTCCACGTCCACGTCCATGTCCACGTCCACGTCCACGTCCACGATCACGTCCACGTTCATGTCCATGTCCACGTCCACGTCCACGTCCACGTCCACGTCCAAGTCCACGTCCACGTCCACGTCCACGTCCACGTCCACCTCCACGTCCACGTCCACGTCCACGTTCACGTCCACGACCACGTCCACGTCCACGTCCACGTCCACGTCCACGTCCACGTCCAAGTCCACGTCCACGTCCACGACCACGTCCACGTCCACGTCCACGACCACGTCCACGTCCACGTCCACGTCTACCTCCACGTCCACGTCCACGTCCACGTCCACGTGTCCACGTCCACGACCACGTCCACGTCCACGTCCACGTTCTCGTCCACGTGTCCACGTCCACGTCCACGTCCACGACCACGTCTATGTCCACGTCCACGTCCACCTCCACGTCCACGTCCACGTCCACGTCCACGTCCATGTCCACGTCCACGTCCACGTCCACGATCACGTCCACGTTCATGTCCATGTCCACGTCCACGTCCACGTCCACGTCCACGTCCAAGTCCACGTCCACGTCCACGTCCACGTCCACGTCCACCTCCACGTCCACGTCCACGTCCACGTTCACGTCCACGACCACGTCCACGTCCACGTCCACGTCCACGTCCACGTCCACGTCCAAGTCCACGTCCACGTCCACGACCACGTCCACGTCCACGTCCACGACCACGTCCACGTCCACGTCCACGTCTACCTCCACGTCCACGTCCACGTCCTCGTCCACGTGTCCACGTCCACGACCACGTCCACGTCCACGTCCACGTTCTCGTCCACGTGTCCACGTCCACGTCCACGTCCACGTCCACGTCCACGTTCTCGTCCACGTCCACGTCCACGTCCACGTCCATGTCCACGTCCACGTCCACGTCCACGACCACGTCCACGTCCACGTCCACGTCCACGTCCACGTCCACGTCCACGTCCACGTCCACGACCACGTCCACGTCCAGGTCCACGTCCACGTCCACGTCCACGACCACGTCCACGTCGACGTCCACGTCCACACGACCATGTCCACGTCCACGTCGACGTCCACGTCCACGTCCACGACCAGGTCCACGTCCACGTCTACGTCTACGTCCACGTCCACGTCCACGTCCACGTCCACGTCCACGTCCACATCCACGACCATGTCCACGTCCACGTCCACGTCCACGTCCACGTCTACGTCCACGACCATGTCCACGTCCACGTCCACGACCAGGTCCACGTCCAAGTCCTTGTCCACGTCCACGTCCACGTCCACGACCACGTCCACGTCGACGTCCACGTGGACATGGATGTGGACGTGGACGTGGACGTGGACATGGTCGTGGGCGTGGACGTGGACGTGGACGTGGACGTGGACATGGACGTGGACGTGGACGTGGACGTTGGGTTAAACACACGGTGGGTTTAACACACGGTGGGTTGAACACACGGTGGGTTGAACACACGGTGGGTTGAACACACGGTGGGTTGAACAAACGGTAGGTTGAACACACGGTGGGTTGAACACACGGTGGGTTTAACGCACGGTGGGTTGAACACACGGTGGGTTGAACACACGGTGGGTTTAACACACGGTAGGTTGAACACACGGTGGATTGAACACACAGTGGGTTGAACACACGGTAGGTTGAATACACGGTAGGTTGAACACACGGTGGGTTTAACACACGGTGGGTTTAACACACGGTGGGTTTAACAAACGGTGGGTTTAACACACGGTGGGTTTAACACACGGTGGGTTGAACACACGGTGGGTTGAACACACGGTGGGTTGAACTCACGGTGGGTTGAACACACGGTGGGATGAACACACGGTAGGTTTAACACACGGTGGGTTGAACACACAGTGGGTTGAACAAACGGTGGGTTGAACACACGGTAGCTTTAACACACGGTGGGTTAAACACACGGTGGGTTGAACACACGGTGGGTTGAACACACGGTAGGACGTAGACGCGGACGTGGACATGGACGTGGACGTGGACGTGGTCGTGGACGTGGACGTGGACGTGGACGTGGACGTGGACGTGGACCTGGACGTGGACGTGGACGTGGACGTGGACGTGGACGTGGACGTGGACGTGGACCTGGAGGTGGACGTGGACGTGGTCGTGGAGGTGGACGTGGACGTGGACGTGGACGTGGACGTGGACCTGGACGTGGACGTGGACGTTGTCGTGGAGGTGGACGTGGACGTGGACGTGGACGTGGACGTGGACCTGGACGTGGACCTGGACGTGGACGTGGACGAGGACGTGGACATGGACGTGGACGTGGACGTGGACGTGGACGTGGACGTGGACGTGGACGTGGACGAGGACGTGGACATGGACGTGGACGTGGACGTGGACGTGGACGAGGACGTGGACATGGACGTGGACATGGTCATGGACGTGGACGTGGACGTGGACGTGGACGTGGACGTGGTCGTGGACGTGGTCGTGGACGTGGACGTGGACGTGGTCGTGGACGTGGACGTGGACGTGGACGTGGAGGTGGACGTGGACGTGGACGTGGACGTGGACATGGACGTGGACGTGGAAGTGGACATGGACGTGGACGTGGACGTGGACGTGGACATGGACGTGGACATGGTCGTGGACTTTGATGTGGACGTGGACGTGGACGTGGGCGTGGACATGGACGTGGACGTGGTCGTGGACTTTGACGTGGACGTGGACGTGGACGTGGACATGGTCGTGGACGTGGGTGTACCCTCTCAAGACCAAGGGCAGCAGCTGTTCTTAAGGAGTGGATGCCGAGGGCTCAAAGGGAGAGCAGACACAAGGTGAAGGTGATCCGCACTGACAACGGGGGAGAATTCATTGGCGCTGATTTTGAGGCGGTGCTGAAGAAGAAGGGGATCCAGCCACTTTGTAAATTTTCCTACGCTGTGAAGGATGGGAGCTTGAAGGGGTTGGAGGTGAAGGGGGCAGCAAAGGAGATTGGGAGCTGCCCTACATGCCTTGAGACCAATTTTACGAAGTTTCCCTTCAGCAGCGGCACGGGACCAGCCAAGGCCCCACTCGCGCTTGTGCACATGGATGTAGTGGGCCCTACGAGGGCCCCTTCTTTTTCGGGCAGCCGCTACTTCTTAACAATTGTGGACGACCACACGCGTGCGGTGTGGGTGTACCCTCTCAAGACCAAGGGCAGCAGCTGTTCTTAAGGAGTGGATGCCGAGGGCTCAAAGGGAGAGCAGACACAAGGTGAAGGTGATCCGCACTGACAACGGGGGAGAATTCATTGGCGCTGATTTTGAGGCGGTGCTGAAGAAGAAGGGGATCCAGCATCAGCTCACGGTACCCTACAACCCTCAGCAGAACGGTGTAGCTGAGCAGTTCAACCGGACCCTGCAGGAAGGAGATGCGCAAGTCCGGATGTGCTCGCAGGTTCAACTGGACCCTAAGCGCATCTCCTTAAGCGTGCAGGGCTGCCGGATCCGTTTTGGGTGACTCCATTGCGGCAGGTCGCCTTTGTGAAGAACAAGGTGCTGGCGACTGTGGGGGACAAGCAATGGTTCCCTTCCACCAAGTGATATGGGAGTGCACCAACGGTCAACATGCTGAGAGCCTACGGCTGCATGGTGGTGTTTCATGTGCTTAAGGAGATTAGGGGAAAGCTGGAAGCTTCCGGGAGATGGGGTGTGCATCAGGGGATTGCAAAGGACCACAAGGGCTGGGTGCTATGGGACTTAACTAGCCAGAAGCTGACTGTTTCGAGGGATGTGAAGTTCCTTGAGTCACTGTACTACAAGGAGTGGAAGCAGCAGCAGCAGAAGCCTCCCACTACACTGCTGATTATTCAGGCCGATGAGGTGCAGCGGCCTTCGAGGCAAGTGCAGGTCACTGTCTCAGAAGAGATCTCTGGGGTGACTGAGGATGAGGAAGAACCTGAGATAGAGGAGCAGCAGCAGCAGCCGCAGCAGCAGCAGCAGCAGCAGCAGCAGCAACAAGATGCCCCTTCACGTGCCCATTGTCCACCTGACCATCCTAGGAGGGATGTGTGCCCGCCTAACAGGTTGACCTATCCTAGCTTTGAAAGCCAAAGGTGGTATGGGCTGGGAGTGTGGCTGAGCAGTGTGATGTTGATGAGATAGCGCACTGCTACTGGGCAGCCGTCCCAGAGCCCAAGACGCTTGCCGAGGCCTTGAATGGGCCCGATGCTGAAAAGTGGAAGCAGAGTGTGAAGGAGGAGTACGACTCTCTCTTGGAGAATGAGACATGGGAGCTGTATGAGCAGCCTCATGGGAAGAAGGCCATTTCTTCCAAGCTGATCTTAAGGCACAAGTATGGACCTGATGGGGAGCTGACCCGCTACAAGTCAAGGCTTGTGGCTAAGGGGTTCTAGCAAACAAAAGGGAAGGACTTTGATTAGATCTTTGCTCCTGTGGGGAAAGGAACTACACTGAGGGTGATGTTGGGAACGGCTGCAAACCGTGGATGGAGGATCAAGCTGATGGACATCACAACTGCTTTCCTAAATGGGATCATTCTGGAGAAGTTGTACATGCAGCAGCATGAGGGGTTGGATGATGGGAGCGGCAGGATGTGCAAGCTGAAGAAAGACATATATGGCTTGAAGCAGGCTTCTCGCGCATGGTACCACAAGCTGGAGGAGACACTGCTGGCTGGGGGGTTCAAGAGAGTGAGTGCGACCACAGCTTGTTCCTGCTGCAAGAGAAGGAGCAGTTTCTCATGCTCCTGGTGTATGTGGACGACATCCTGCTCCTCTCTTGAGTCGTCTGCATTGATTGACAGTGTGGATGAGATGCTGGAGATGCAATTCAAGTGTTCCAAGATGGTAGATGTGAAGTACTATCTTGGGATGCATGCGGAGAGAGACCTTGACAAGGGGGTGTTGAGGTTGCACCAGAGGAAGTACTATGAGGGGCTGGTTGAGAAGTATGGGCTGCAGGATGGAGGAAAGCCAGCAACCCCACTGCCTTCGGGGTTCACAGTGGAGCCCTGTGCTGATGAGGAGGTGGTGGGTGAGAGCGTCTGGAAGCTGTTTCATTCCATGGTTGGGGCACTCAACTATGCGGCTAACCACACGCGGCCTGATATTTCCTTTGCAACATCCAGGCTTGCCAGTCTCGTCTCATGCCCGTCATGAGCAGCTGGAAGCGGTGAAGAGGTTGGTCCGCTATGTGAGTGCTACAGCATCAGTGGGCTTGGAGTACAGTGCAGTGCGACAAAAGCTGCAGAGGGGTGCAGCTGATTTAAGCAAGGTGGAGATGCTCTTGACTTGCTACACCGACGCTAGCTTCAACTCTGTTTGTGCCTCTTTGGAGGTGGTGCAGTGAGCTGGCACAGCAAGAAGCAGAACGAGGTGGGGCTGTCATCGTGTGAGACAGAGTACATAGCCCTACATCATAGGGCAAAAGAGGTCGTGTGGCTGAGGCGTTTGTTGGAGGAGATCGGGCTTGAATAGAAGGACCCGGCTGTGATGTTCTATGACAATGAGTTGGCTGTGAAGCTTGCCAAGAACCCTTGCCTTCATGGGCTGACCAAACACATCAGACTTAAGTGGCATTGGACAAGGAGGCTCATGGACAAGGAGGTGCAGCTGGAGATTGTGAAGACCCATCAGCAGGCGGCTGACATTCTCACCAAGCGTATGGCTGAACCTGAGCATTGGAAGGGCATGAAGCTTGCTGGAATGAATGTGCATTGAAGGTGCATGCTTGAGCTATGGCATGTGGGATGATGGTAGGCAGCCAGAGGGGGAGTTTGTTATGTGATGCTATTATTTGCATTCACATCTGTCTGCCTCCCATCATATGTTCATGTGTTGCATGCGTGGTGTGAGCGTGTACAAGAATTTGTGTTCGGTGTGGTTTGGAATTTCTGAGTATGTCTGAATGTTTTTTGGCTTGAGCATATATCTGAAGTGACTCCTCTGCTCAAGAGCTTTCCGACGAACCAAGAATCGTTGCGATCGGAGGAAGAACGCGGCGACTTTGGAAAGTTGTGAAGTGACTCAATATGGGGTACAGACTTTTGGGGGTTGGGAAATTTGTCCACATCACTGTAGTTGATGCCACGTGGTTGGGAGAAGCCAAATCAGGTTGGCAAGTGTGGCCAAGTTGAGTGAGGTGGATGACATGGGTTAGGAAAATGACAAAGGTCAAAGTTGGGGTGCCCATAGGGAGGGAATCTTTGTGCTTATGGGGTTTCCTTGGTTGGGGCTCCTTGGGGACCTTCCCTCTTCCCTCACATCTGGTTGATTGCTACTCTAACTTCTTTTGTGGTACTTGTGAGATTATTGTGATTGAGTTAGGTTTCTATGGCAGCATACCCCCTAATGTGCCGAAACTCATAACTAAAAAAATACCTTGTCATGCGATTCAAATTGGGAATTATGGCCACGGTCTAAAGCTACAACATATCGGAGTTTGAGAGAATTTTAACGGTGAACTTTTCGTCGACGGCGTTTTTTGTGGAGTCGAGTTTTGTGTCCAGAGAAATAGTGCACTGATTTTGAGATGTTTCGGCCCCTAAATCTTCTAGAGTCTGTCCTTCGTCTCTAACAAGTGTCAGCACCCCCAGTACCCTCACCCTCAGTCTCAACAACCCCAGAACCCTCACCCCTAGTCTCAGCACCCCCAAGACCAGCACCTCCAGAGGCCTCAACCCCACTGTCACCAACCCCAGCAGCACAAGAGTCAACAGCGATTGGCTGCGGAGGCGGCGAAGACAGGGCAGGAAGGGTCTTTAAGCGTGGAGAGCGGCGAGTGGCCGCCGTGTCGTCAGCAGCGGGGTCACCTCCCTCAACTGGGCCAAAGGTGTTAGAGGAGACCTCCAAAGGCTCAACCAAGGGGGGTGGGTCTATCCGAGACACACCTGAGGGAGCAGGACCCTGTGGGGGGAGGGGGTCTACCGGGGGGGACTGGAACTAGAAAGAGGGGTGGCCGGGGGACCGGGTGGGACGCGTACGGGTGGAGACGGTAGAAGCAGACTGACTCGTCAAAGGTGACGTCCTAGGAGGACAGTACTCAATGTTGGGTGCAAATTTACATTGCACAACATCCTGCCGTCTGTTTGTACGAGTATGCATGTGCGAATGCATTTGGGTATGAATGGAATGCTTGTGTGTTTGTTTGCTTTCGCAATTTTCGCTTGAAGCATTTGCAGGTACTCGCGCATTGTGCGCTTCGGCATAACATTGTACGCGCTATGAACAGTACAAGCAGAAAGGACGAGGTCGCAAAGGAACCCAAGATGGAAGCTTTGTGGTTCGGCTTACTTGATTGCGCAGATTCAGTTCTATCCAACTCGAAATTGTACTGTTTTGTTTGGTTGACTATAGTGTAGCAGGGAAGGCACTATAGGGGTACAATTTAGGTGAAGGTTGGATGTTGTTTGTCTGTATCTGCATGCTACAGGGCCAGGGGAAACCAGCGGAACCAGCATTTGGCTGGTTGGGCAAAGACAAAACAGGTTCTGTTTTTAGGACCTGAACCTGGTTGTTGTTTTCCCAGGTTGGAAAAACAGAACCAGAGGTTGTTTACAAACCTACCACCTGCTGTTTTGTCCAGCCAGGTTGGTTCTGTTGCTTGGAATTATTTGGGATCATCCTTGGTTGTTCCCAGGTTTATTTCCCAAGGTCCTTGCTAGCTAGAACTATTTATTCTTTCTCTGTTTGTACCTGGACATAGTGAAATTGATTCAAGCGAATTCCTTCCTTGCTGGAATTTCTTTTTTACACGGTGCGACGGCGGAATGCTACCCAAGTCAACGCTAGTACGCTAGCACTCCAATGCTAGGCAAACGCTGTCCGAGCCATAACTCCGTAATGGCAGAACTTTTCGCGAGGCAACTTGGTTCATTTTAAAGCTCTTGGAGCGAGCCTCCATATAGGAAATTCTCAGCTTAATCCGGTCGACGGTCTGCACGATACGCTGCGCGACGTTCAAGGTACTCTTGCTGTTTTGACTAAGTCCCTCTTGATCCCTCTCCCTACAAACTCGGACCCGATGATAGGGGCTGGTCTTGTACCAGGCACCCAAGGACCCTTGGAGGTGACCCCGAGGAGAGGTTAAAAGTTTGATAAAGTCTTAATAGTTTGAGTTTATTAGGCCCTTAAACCAAGAAGCTTGTATCAGAGCTGCGTTATAGTGATCCTCGTTATAGGTAGCTATGGCGGGCAACACCTCTGCGGTAGCTG